TGACTACATGAATTGCAGTATTACTATCACCTTCCTTCCAAAAAGGAAAAATTAGAGTGGAATCATCTGCATCCTTAAACAGCGAAGAGTTAGACGCTGGATCTGTATGCAGATCATTTATGAATATATTAAATAAATAAGGGCCACTAACACTTCCTTGCGTAGTGCTTTTGTTCACATTGATCCAATCACAGGCAATGTTTTTGTAGACAACCCCTTGTCTCCTATCAGTAAAAAAGCTTAAGTATCAATTTAAAAAATACGGATTAAGCGGTAGGAGTTTTTGTCTAACCGATCAAGATATTAGCTCTGATAGGCCGCTCCCCAAGTTTCTATCCGGTATAAAAACAAGGACAATCAATGAATCGAATAGCTTTGTCAACTGCTCTTTGGAGAAACCGAAGTATTTGCAGACTCATAAAATGTATAATCGACTAGTGGCTTTTGCTGACAAGTTGAAGGTTCCGTTCTGATAGATTATCCTGAAGTATCACACCACGTATTCTCAACCAGTTTTTCGTTCAATTCCCTGTATAATAGGCGGTAATGGTTTTACAATTCGGCCTCGCGTTGTCATTTTCCAAGTTTTAGTTAGATTTAATTTCATGCTATTCACTCTCTGCCCGACTCCTAAGGTCCCACGCTAAGACTAAGGTCCCAAGTCAAGCCTAAGGTCCTCGTTAAGGCCCCCCAGGTCAAGGTTAACCCTAACCAAGGCCCCACCCTAAAGCCCTACGCTAAGCCTAAGGTCCCAAGTGAAGCCTAAGGTCCCAAGTTAAGCCTAAGTTCCCAGGCCAAGGCCCCACGTTAAGGCCAAGGGAACCGCCACGATGACGTCGGACACCGCACGGACACGATAGCATGGGCCCGGACTCCCCACGATGACGTCAAGACACCGCACAATGACGTCGGGCACCCCACGATGACGTCGGACACCACCCGCAACACACCGCCCGATGACCATGGCGTCAACGGACACCGCCCGGTGGCCGTGACGTCAGCGGCTGGGGGGGGGTCTTTACTACCTGAGCGCCCCGGTGGTAAAGTGGTGAAATGGTGATGACGTCACACTTTCTCGAACTTTTGTTGGCGGCCATCTTGAAAAGGGGGAGGAGGGTGGCTTATGCAGTACCTGCCCTACTACTCAGGTTTGAAACCTGATTAAGTCAATGTGTTGCCTTACTCTCACAGTGCCTCTCCACCACCCAAGAGAATAAATGGGTTCAGGCCAACTGTCAGAGAAGCCTGATGAAATGCTGGGCGGGAACCTTGTGATGGACTAGCATCTCATCCAGGGGTGGGTATTGATACTCCTAGTTGCTTCATGTTAAGGAAACTGGGATAACCTCTAGCTGGATGGACAACTTAGCCCAAATAGAGACTTTGCCTTTACTTTTTTGACATGCAATACTCCCCCTTATATACCACTGCATCATTACCCATGATTATATTCTGACATGATGCTCGGGCCTTAGGTCCAGGCCTTGTCGTATCTTGTGCCGACAAAATATTTATTTCTGCCTTATTCGCAGACTCAATCGTCAGAAATACCATTTTTTTAAAAATAAAAACTAGCGAGCAGCACTTGGCAACAGATCTTGTCAACTTAGTTTATTATCCGACCGGTTTCGTCGGATCACACAGACTTGAATCTTTTACTTTTGCAGTGAGGTTATTCCTTTTGCCGTGAGGGTTTTTCTTTTGCCGCGAGGTCATTTCTTTTGCCGTGACAGTTGTGGGTCACCGTTGGGATTTAACAAGATGAACAAAATTGAACTACTAATATAGGGAATAGTAGTAATATAGCCCATAAGGGGCTCCTGCCTGGACGTTTTCAGTACAAATCACGTTCAAATATTAATTAGAGTGTGAACAGCAAAAAACACTCACAAACAAGAAATGTTACGCAAATCCAGCGTAATAAATCGGAAATGTTGCGCAAATCTTGAGTAAAAATGAAGAAATGTTTATTTTGGGGCTCAAGATTTAACTTCAAATCGTGAGCCCCAATTTGTTGTCTATATGGCATTCAGCCATGGCCCATATACCGAGTGGTCTGGCCACAGTAAGACCCCGCCGCCATCTTGAAAACTGAGCGAGAAACCCCTGACATTTCTTATCGCAGGCTTAAGTCGTTTGCTCTTTCCAAGATGGCGACCGGAAGGAGTATGCCTGTCATTTTGAAAAAGTTCAGTCAGAGTCTCAATCCAGGAGAACTTAAGGAAGTCCAGGTCTCAGAGAAATTTCGTGTGCTGGTAGCTCTGGGTGATGACTCCACGTTGAGGCTGTGGAACGTTAAGAATGATGCAAACTTTACCCTCGTAGATGTGATACAGTACGTAAATAAGGATATAGTAACATAAAGCTTGAATAGAAGTCATGTGATATGGTTGTACCTTTCTCTTTTCAATTCTTTGTGATTTCTTTCATGTGACCTGACCTTCCTTACGGCGTTATTTATGTTTCTTAGTCTTTTTTGCCATTAAATTATGGTAGAGAATGTTTGTCAGGCTATTTTACCTCTAGTCTGGTAAATTTTGTAAGCTTGATGTGATCTAGGTCGGATACGATCTCGTTTCAAAATTTTTTTAAGTACTAGCGAAAGATCAACGGTAATTGTCATAATTATTTTTCATTAGCCAGGTTCGGAAATTGCGACCAACTGGTCGCCAATTCAAATGAATCGAGTTTTGGCAGCGATAATTTTAAACGTGACACCAGAAGGAGACCAAAGAAATAAATTGTACCTCAAATCGTAAAAGTTCACGTATGGTCTCCAGCATGACTCTTATTCCTTGTTTTACTGAGATTTTGAACATCCAATGATTTTAAGTTGGTTCAAAATAATAATGGGGTGACATTGATTGACCTTTAGGGTAGTAGTAGTACTAGCAATAGCTCAATTGGTGATTGTTAGCTCAATTGGTAGAGCGCTGCACCGGTATTGCAGAGGTCATGGGTTCAAATCCCGTACGGGCCTGAATTTTTTCAGGTCCTATTTACAACTACTCGTTTCAGTAGTGTTTTTAGCTGCGAGGATCTCTAAATTTCATCTCTCCACCGCAGTGCAAATATATGAATTTTCATATATCTAAAATCTTCATTCACTTGGATGTTTATTTGGACCCAATTCATTGACCAGCTCCCAGTTGGCTTGTTAGCTCAATTGGTAGAGCACTGCACTGGTATCGCAGAGGTCATGGGTTCAAATCCTGTACGGGCCTGAATTTTTTCAGGTCCTATTTACAACTACTCGTTTCAGTAGTGTTCTTAGCTGCGAGGATCTCTAAATTTCAACTGGCCATCATGTTTTTCACAGTTTCTTGTGACACCTACACTGTGGGTATATTGCATTAACATTTGCTTTTCTAAACTTCTCTGGTGGTCAAATCTTGGAAAATGTTTCACTGTAAGGAACATAGGAAAGTGCTATGAAATTGATTCAAAGTTTGGATATTAATCTCAGGCTTACAAATCATCAGAATACAATTTTTCCTCACAAGCTTAAGACTTTTGCACCAGTTTGTGATGGTTACCATACCCATGGTCATTTTTGGACCAGCCCTTTAGTTCTTAGTTAGGTCAATTTGTGGCCAGTCAATTAAGTTGTTTCATACCCATACTAATAAAGTATGTTTTCCATGTTTTATGGTAAGAATAGAATAAACAAATTAAAAATAAATACTGTCCTTGATAACAATGGGAGAAAACATATATCACACTTGCATTAGCTGTTATTGTTAAGAAACTAAGTCAAAAGTAGAAACTATAAACTGTTCTATTAAAAATAACATACTTATCATGTACCAGGCAATTATTTAGTGTTTATGTTAAGAAGGTCACTAGTATACAGGACAGAATTTTGTCTGTATCTTAATCACTTGAGTCTACTAACCCTACAACAATCTACATCTTCTCAAGTGGTTGTTTGTGGGGTATTTTGAATTAATGTGTATTGGGATGGGTATGAATAGACAGGGGTTTGAGTGTGAACTGACTCAAACTGGGTACTAATTGACTGAATTGGGAACAAAACAATTGGGTACAAAATGACCATGGGAATGAAACAACTGGATACCCTTTTGACCATGAACATCCATAACTCATCATTTTAATCATGCCTTTTTTGAGATACTCAATTGGTGATTTTTCTCAAGTATGGATATGTTTAAGGCAAAAATCCATCATTACAAGGCTATATTTTTTTGTTTTACTGTTAACCAAAAGTCTTACAAATTGAACATTTTGGTGACCAACATTTCAATCTTGGCTCTGTTAAAAAAAAAGTTTTAGTCACAATATGACACCTGCTTCAAAAGGTTGATTTTGGACCCTGCCATACCAAACTAGTGATTAGTGCTTTTTGCAAACACTGATTAGCTAGGTAAGAGACTATTAACAAGTACTATGAAGCTTTGAGCAGACTGAGCTAATTGAAATGTTTTTGTAACTTCAGTCAGCTTTGTTTTAAGAGAATGCTCTAAGTCAATGGTTTGGTGTGTGCCAGTATTAGACAAATTATTCACCTCACTGTTTGTGCAATTTGTCAGCCATTTACAGGCCACATGATGGCCTAGTGAACTGATACTTCACACTTTTCACCCCTACTTTTGCCAATAATGGGCACAGATGATAACTATCTACGTAGAGCAATGTAATCAATGTAGCTAACAAAAATAATCTATATCCTGAATACAAAGGTCAACTGTCAATAACAACCTCCAGACCCTGTATTTATATTGTAAAAATAAGGTCATATGCAAAAATCCAGGAATTTATAATTGCTCAGAAAAAAGGCAAAAAAATTAAAGGGATAGTATTTGTAAAACATTCTTTACTTAGTATTTCAGAGTGTTAATTTTTAAAAATAAAATAAACATGAAATGCAAAATCTTATCTCTTACTTATTTTATTCCTTGTTCTTACTACAGATTTAAGTGGAGTTCTTGTAGTGACTGCCAGAATAAAGAAAATTCAGAGGAGGACTGTTTTGTTGTATTGAAGATTGATGGCAGTATAGAGTTACATACTATTTCCAATGCATTTGAAGGTTTCTCAAGCACCTGCAATGCTGTTGTAACCAAAGAGCTATTGAAGGGGTTACTAAACGATAGAGGCAAAGGTTAGCAAATTTTTGGCTTTTTTATTACTAGAAGTTACATTTACCTATTTTTTTTAAGGGTTTAAACACTGGCTGGGTTATGGGGAATTGTTTAAAAAAAGGGGGGGAACCTTCTAGATTAAGAGGGGGCTGGAGATCAACTTACCCTTGGCGGCTCCTGAGGATTTTTTTTTGTATTTGATTTTGGGAAGCTAAATTATAGATATAGTTAAGTTGAGTGTTATCTCCATCTTTTGCTGCCAAACCATAAGTTACAAGTATCAAAGACATGTGCCACAAAAAAGCCAAAGCAGGATTATCAGTGTATCTTGCAAAATAAAGTTTAGGGTTACGACAAATTTAGAAACGGTCAAGGAACATTAATATGTGACATCTCATGTCAGGAACAACTGGTCTGAATGCCCTGTTACTTTCAACTATTTTTTTTTGGTTAAGTATTATGAATAATTTCAGAAAAAGTTGGTCTTTTTGGTAAGACAACTGAAAGCAAGCACACTTAAGTCAGGGTAGAGATCAGTCATCAATCACTTCTCTTGTTTTAAATGTTTTAAAGTGGTTTTGTATCTGGAGGGTCTGGTGATGTCTTTGTATGGACATTTAATGTTACATAAGTGAACAATTTTTGTTTTGTTTTGAATAATTCCAAGTTAACTGTTTGCATTTTTTCTTTTCAGAATGGCATAGTGGTGAAGTAAATCTTATTTCACTAAACAGAAGTTCTGAGCCCTCCAAACATGAAGTCATTATTTTGGTGGATACAATGTTGACTATACTCTCTATGGGCCAAAACTCAATAGCAGATATGTTGGTTTGCTTTGAGGTGACAAATTCAGCCATGAACAAGGAGAATGAACACTCAGGTCCAATAACAGCAGTCAGGAGGTTTCATAAGTTTATATTTACATTGGTGTCAAGTGGTGTTGTGTGTATCCTTTATTTGTAACTTGATTTGTAGCAAATATATGGTACAGTATTTATGTATTTATTACATCAACAAATTGTGGACCACCCCTGTGTATCTGGTCCATAGACCACCTGCAAGGTCCCCCCAAATTTCAAAAGCAGATATTTTTAATTAGCAGCAGGCTGCAGCCATGAGTTGAGAGTTGTTTTCTGATGCACTTGAGAACATCTTCAGTGAGCAGCATTCAGTTTAAGATGATAAAACTGGGTTAGGGCTCTGTAAGAGTGTGCCACCAACAATTTGTAATTCTAGGTTTATGCTCTTTATCTTTGCTGACAATCTGAAATGTCAAATTTGATGAAAATGCACATTGGAGTCTGCTTTGAGTTTTAAAATGGTTGACTTGAAAATTTGGGATGGTCCACAGAGGTAGTTCATGGACAAGATCCATAAAGTGGTCTACAAACAAGGTCCACAGGGGAACCCATGGGGGTGGTCCATGGAACTTAATCTTTGGCTTGTGAATGTCCATAGGAGAGGAATAGAAGAGTGGCAATGTTCAGTTTATTTATCTCAAATCCAGCAAAACTTACTCACTATATCTCTAAAGACTATGCACAAGAGTGGTTGACAACCATATGTATATCACTCCTTTCCAAAACCCTCCTAGTTCCTCCCAGTGTTTGATCTTCTTGGTGGTGGCATTAGCATTTACTGAACCTAAAATTTTCAGGCAACAAAATTTTTTGATATGGTTGGTGTCTCTTCGAAAGAAACTAAAAATGAAGATCTGTTTGGAATTTCTCAAAAATCTGGAAGACTTGTTGAGTTCAAAATTTATCCTTTCAAGCTCAGGAGAAGAGATTAACGTGTTTTGTATTTCCTGAACTGTATGGCATCAACTGAATACTTTTTTCACACAAATGCAACTTGTTTATTGATTTTATAGTAGCTGTTTGATTGTGTGAAGAGGCAGCCTCTGTAGCGAGGTACACATGAATGTATTTGAAAAAGGAGGAGCAGGGGACATTCATGTACCTATATTGCTTAGCAGTTTTCTTAACTTTTTCACCTAGTCATACACAAGATGGCTGATTTTGTAGGTTCAATCAATATGTGGCAATCAGGTGGCTTTTCAGCTCAAGGTAGGTTGAACAACTTACAATGTAAGATTTTATTAGCACTTTAAAATGCAAAATCCTCACAGATTGCATTGAATTTTTAATTATTGATTTTTTAAGTAGAGAGGTAATGAAGGGTGGTTAGATGCAATTGTAAGTTTTTTAATTTATGATGAAGAATAAAAAATTCAGAGTATATTGCTACTGTAGCAATCATTCTCTTTGATTTTTATAATTTTATAATATTGTGAAAAAGTAATTAATCATTCATGGCATAAAGGAAATTTTAGATGGGATGACAGAACCCTATTGTGGAATCTCTTTGACATCTGATTCAAAATCTAACTTCTTCATTATATCCTGAAAAAAAAAACTGTTTTTGAGTTTGATACCTCATGAAACAACCAAAAGAACCAAGCACCAGATTTTTATTTCTAAAGATCTTAGCTTCTTCTTCCATCTTGACAAGTTCTTCTTCAATCATTTCTCTAAGTATACTGATGTTAAAATTTGGAAGTTTGTCACTGTCCATATCTAAGAAATTTGAAAATGTTTTTATGAGATAATTTTTTCCGACATGGCAAGGATTGCCAAGCAATGTGTCACATGATACATCATTTTTCATCCATACCATTATCAACAATAGTTCTTAACGGATAAGTGGACAAGAATTTCTACACTTATCATAAAAAGTTTGATACCATGCATTGTAGCATAATAATTGTGCAGGATGTTTTTGAAGATTTAACAGAATGTCCTTGTTACCCCTAAAATAAGCTCTGGCAAACAAATAAATATGTCTTCTTTTAAAAGACTTACCTCATAAGTGGGAAGGGATGGATGTTATGGTCAGTTTTGTTACACATATGTTGTCAGCCCTTGATATTGTCAAAGATTCGCAATAAATTCTGTTGGATTTTATGAGAGCTCAAATGTGATAGTGCAGAATGTTTTGTTAACTCTTATGGGCTGGATAGCAACTTAGCTATTCGATAGTGTTAACTGCCCTTCAAACAACTAGTCCCAGCTGCTTGAATACAAAAATTGTAAAAATTAGTTTACAACAGAAATATCACAGTAATATGGAACCTTGGCTTTTTTCCCACAAAACACAAAAAATCATGCTAGTGTCAAATGTAACTCTTGACCAATGATACTCTGAATTCATGCTGAATGGTATGCCATTTTACAAGACAGTGCCTTACTATCAGTACCCATTTTGTTTTTCAGATTATGTTGCAATCCAAGAGAGACCAACTTTTGTATACCTAGAAGTAACTGATGATCTCTCCTTTCTTGTTTGTGGTGATGGTAACAGCAATATTTATATGGTAAACCTTGATGAATACTTTAAAGAGTTCCCTTCTCAGTGGATTTGTCCCACCTACTCCAAGAGTAAAGGCCCTTCTTTTTCAAGTGTGAAGTTTCAGTATGAACTAGAAGATGAAGATTCTGTGGCCCGTAATGCAGAAACGTCTGATATTGCCTATGGGGACAGGGTGTGGAAAACAGAAATATTGGCATTCAGGAAGGGTGTAAAGCAAGCTTGTTGTGAAAATGGAACAGGTGGGAGTAAGCTATGAATAGATGCTTTCAATCCATTAATATGTAGCCACTAAATTTCCAGGAAGTCACAATGTGTCATGTTTTATGAATTTATCTAGGCCATCATTGCAGCATCTAGTTTCCCTTTTCAAAACCAAGCCAGTGAAATGTGGTAAAATTTTTTACTTGAACAGCAGTTCTATAAATGGTAAATGTGACAGAATGACAGAATTTCTGGACTTCATTTCAATCAGCATGGTAATGAATTTATTAATGGGAGACCACAGATTGTAGTAGAAGTACCGGTAGATATATTTTGCACTTGTGTTATTTGAAACCATCTAACATATGATAACAATCTTATTGTACTTGCATTAACATTTACATTTATTTACCATGTGCAAGATATATACAATATGCTACTGGCTAGGCAACATACCGAGATAAATAGGCTTGAAATCTGAAAAAAATGGCTGATGTTGCAATTTTTAAAAAGTGAAGTAAAATAAAATTTTTCTGCCAATTTCCTTTGAATTCAATTTTTTAAACAAAATCAATCATAGTTAATGAAAACATCCTTAACTAAGGTAACCAGCACATACGATCCTCAAAACAGCGTAAAGTAAGTTTTTTGTATCAAAATGATTGTATCAGGGCCATTTTTAACTCTGATAACTCTAACTTGCACAACCAAAAATATTGGCTAACAGTTTTTTCACTAAATTAAAAATTAATCATGTGTTTAATGGACTTTTTTATTTTGTTTAATGTCATTGAGAGTAAGAGTCACTTCATGTTTAGTTTTTAAATTTGTTATCACACCTCATTCTAGCTTCCCTAACACCTGCCTTGCCAGTAAAATATTGTTCTCTCACTTTCCTCTTGTTACATCATACAAAGAAAATAGCACTTGCACATATGCCAACTCTCCTGGAAACAGAGCCAATCTCCTGCTTGCTCTTACAGGTGATCAAAACTCCAGGATAAAAGGAAGTTTGGATCAGTTGCCCACAAAAAACTAAGATTTAAGCTCCATATGTTCCAAAATTCCAAAATCATCTGGCTTCTTATGCTTGTATTACAGTTTCTGGCTTCATTTTCTTGTGTGATGTACATTGTTTTTTGCAAACTAAAAGAAGAGACTTTCTTCTTTGTTACCCCTATATAAGCAAGAGTCTGATTGGATGAGTATTCAAAATCAGATCAAAAAAGAAATTTTTTGATTTGAAAAGACCCCCCCCAATCAAAAAAAAATTTTTTTTTTTTGGGGGGGGGGGTTGCATTGGTGAATTTGGTCAGGGGTGGGGGGGTTGCTTATCTGAAAAAAAAAACTCCAGATTTGAGATCTCCAGAGGTTGGCATCTTTACACTTCATGCACAACATTCCTATATTTTTAATCTAGATGATATTTTCCTTAAAAAGTAGTATATATTTAATAGATGCTCCATTTATGAGAAGTGACCATCTTTGATTTTCCTCTTTACAAACACCTGCCTAAGGACTTGTATGTATACCAAAACATTAAGTTACATGGAACATAATTCATGATATACCACTTAAATACAATGTGTAAGTTGTATATGTACTTGTAGTTCATGATCAATAAGTTGGCAATGTTAGCCTGTCAGTTTTAAGGTAACATTGATTAAATCCAAAGCAGAAACATCATGTAAACCTCATGGTGGTGGCTGTGGCAATGGCTTTTTTTCAGCTTCTTTTGTACCTGTGGAATCTGATGTCTGACATTACGTTTGCTTCTTTTCTTAGATGTAAACCATTTTTGTATACCAACAGTAAAGAAAAGGTGGTTTTCTGATCTAGTTGGCCCTGATGTTGGACATCTGTTGGTTGCATTCAATAGTTGTGGTGAACAAACCATAAAAAGTTGTAGCAAGATGAGTGGATTTAATGGAACAAAGAGGGAAGCTGAAGGGACTCCACCTGAAGTATTACCATCTCCTGAGATTTTACACAAAACTATTTTTGTTAGATGTGAAGACTGGATGAAAGTGTACAAGTTGAAGGGAATATGGGTGACACCAGCTTCATTCTTACTTTGTTTCAAGCCGCAAAGACTAACTGAAAACCCAGGGCATCCAAGTGATGTTTCCCATGGTGTTCTGTGTTTGTTTTCTTTGAAAACTCAGAAATATCTCTACCACTGGTAAGCTATTTTAAATAACTTTTATTTTTATCACCAGAGTTTATATGGAAGTATCTAAAGTTTGGATACTTTGTAATTAGTGATGTAAGTACAATAAAAAGTGTAGTCATAATAATGTATCTATTATGAGAGGCCAATAAGGTCTTAGTGTCTGTCCAAGTTTTTTTTTTTCCCAAAACAACTTTTCAGCTGAACTACCCTTAAAAGATAGACATGCTGTCCACGAAGGAGACTATTATTTTGGAATTAATGCATTTTCCCCAGTCCTTTCCCTATATCTATAAGGTGTTGGAAAAAATTACTCTTAATTCCCATTTCTATTAATTCTTAACTCCAAACTACTTTAATTTATAGGTTTTTGGAACCTTCAGTGATAGTACAAAGTTGTGAACCAGGGTTCCCACATCTGGTGCTCACTGGCACATCTCTGGCAGTACCAGCTTTTGACATTAGTCAAGATCAGCTTGTCCATAAAGTAATGAATGCTTTTCCAATGTCAGATGAATAATTAGTTAGCTTTTTTCTTCTTTAGCCCAAGGAATAGCTTAGTTAAAGAAAGAATGCTAGTCTTGAAATAAGTGAATAAACCAACTGAAGGAGGATGCTTTGAAGCAAAACAATGCAATTGATATAATATAATAACAATACAATGTAAAATTCTTGTTGCAACTCACTCAGTCGTGGCTATTTTTGATTCCTCTAAAGGAATGGTCTTAAGTGGAAAGTGTTTTCTGAAACATTGGTCTGCTGATTTAAACTCATCTATTTTGTAGGTAATAATGTATGAGAATGCAGTTCTAGCAGACTCTCTATGCTTTGTGAATCAGTGGGATCATTGTACCATTCCAATTCATGCTTTAGAAGTGGCCTTAAAACTAAGGCAACTTGACACAGTTGCCTTCTTTTTGAAGAACCAAGACAAAGGCAAGAACCAAGCTCTAAGATGTTATGTTATGATTTATCAGTAATGCAACAGTTAATGTTAAACTTCTTAAACTCTGTGGGAATTGCATTTAGATCTAGAGATAGTTATCGCAGTTGGTGTGATTTGTAGTTTTATTGCATTTGTTTCAGCTCATGATTATTTCTATCCTTTTACTATTTTCAATAAAACTTCTTTTGGCTAAACACCATTTTGTATTTTTTTGTTTTGGGAGCAAAAAGGGGGAATTAGTCCATATTTTGGGATTTTCATAGCAGAATCAGTGGAAGTAGGAGTTACATGTTGGGAGAACCCAAGAAAAGCTTGAAAGCATGTAGTTTATAAGAGAAAGGATTTAATATCTGCCTCTGCCATCAAAGTTTTGATTATTTAAAATGCAAATCTGTTTATAATGTAAATCTCCCATGATTTTGATCATTTGCCTATTCTCTTTCAGCTTTCACAAACAGATGTGCTGCTCTCTACTCCTCATCAGACTCTGTATTGTCTTCTTTAAGTTCAGCATCATCATTAGACGGTGAAGGTGTACTGGGTACCACTGATGTGGTGGCAGTGACAGAGGCCCTTGTTAGTGCTGTAAACTACAATAGTCAGCGTAAGTGAGAAACATTGCACTTTTGATCTGTAATGGTACATATATGGTTACAAAATGGGAGTGTGCTGTGATGGGAATTAACCTTTATTTTTAAACAAATTGTTGTTCATCAGAAGTAGACCACTTTTTTTTTCAAAAGTAAACAAAAAAGGAAAAAGAAAAAAAAAAAGGGTACTCTCGCTGATTCCTTTTGAACAGTTGGAGACAGATAACATCAAGCAATTAAAGGGCCTTTGGCAAACAAAGATCTGTGGTGTGTGCCTTTGTTTCTAGGAACCTTTCAGTTAGGTACTATATGATGAGATTTTTTCCAGAACAACACCACCAGCATTTCACAAGGCAACTTGCACAGATGACCCTGAGTTACCTCCACAACTTAATGGAAGATGGAGCAAAGTTGTTAGACGGTGAAGACCTTAAAAGATCTGCTATTGGACACAAAACTGGTCAAGTTGCATGGAGCTTATTACACCAAGAGATAAAAGATTGCCTCGATTTTCTGACTCTTAGTATCGTGAAGCTTCGAGGTCATCTCAGCAACATTCCTCTCAATGATGATGCTCAAAGTTCTGACAGTGTGGACTTTAATCCAATGCCATTTGCAAGATTGGATGCAGATGAGGTGGATGGATCCATGACAAGGTGGAGCAGAATGAAGGATGAGGTATTGTGATCATATATAAGCTTGTTGTTTTTTGAACTGTAGAAGTAATTTGGGAGAGATTTGTTGAAACTTGGCAATAAAAGTGCTTTGCCCTTATCAAATATCATTCAGTAGAATTCTCTCACCCATAAAATAAAATAGTGGAATGGATTTAATTTCACAAGAAGTGAGATGGCTGGCTTTGAGAAGGTTTTAAACTAACCACAACCTTGAACCTTGAACATTTACACGGTTGCAAGTGACTACTAAATGATGTGCGAAGTTCTGTTTCTGTGCCAGAATCATCCTAGTATAAATAATGTTTACCCTGTGATGTTGTTTATATTTCTTTTAAAATAATTGAATCTGTGGCTGCACAGCATCGATCCAGTTCTTTTCATAAGTGAATTCCATCCCCTTAAAACAAACACCTTGTTCTGTATTCCGTTTATATGCAAAGAAAAAGTTGTTATCCATCGACATTGTACGTAGTTTTTCACATTTTTCTCATGGTTCACCATTATTGGCAGTTATTTTTTCTATGATTGTTAATTTTTTAGTTCTCCAGAGCACCCATTTATAATTATAGCTTCAGCTGACAAGTTTACTCTGCTTAAATATGTTATTATTTTTTTTATTGTTGTTATTATTACTATTTTCTTTCATGTTTTTTATCGTCCATTCCAATATGTCTTCACTGTTCAGGGCACAAAGTTAATCACTGGATATAGCTCTTGTGCTATTTAGTTATAGCCCTTCCTCTGCTTGCTAGGATATCGTTGAAGATGCCATTGCCAACCAATATATTTGTTCAGCTCAAGCATTTTTCCAGAGCAGGAGACTTGAAAAGATGGTATATCCTTAAATGTCATAGAAATTATTTACTATACTTGTTTGTCATGACAGTGTTACCTTGTTTGAGGTTTGTATTGACTCTTTGCACTGGGATGGTAGGCTATGGTGGCTGCCTTTGGTAGAAAATTGTTTGCAGTTCTCCTGACAATGTCCACATACACAGGGCTAACCTTTCTGACGAAAGATTTGACCCCAGTGTTTATTTCTGTGACAAGAATGTTGGTTGGTGTTACTGCAAAATTCAATCCTTTGTTGTGTCACAGAAATGTCAAAGCAATGTTACATTACACAATATGATAATACCTGACACAGACTCATAGTATAGCAGTTTAAATGCCTTAATGTTCATTTGACAGCTTGACCCTTTGATTCAATTTGGAAAAGGATTAAATATTCATTCATATATATATATTAATCACAACCACCATGTGTTAATACACGCATGGATATGCATGCTCTGATTGGTGGAGGATTGTGTCATATCTTGCTACACCTCGTGTTAGGTGGTTATAGCAGGGATGCTAAATTTCAAAGTGGCTGCTTCATGTTTGTCAATGTTTTCAAGGAAGTGTTAAACGTGATAGAAGCAAATTCAATTGTAAAGAGCACTTAAGATGCTTCTGAGTTTGGCAGAACACTTTTCAAAAGAAAGATATCATGGAGTTTACTGACTGAATGAAATAAACCTGTCAAAAGTGCTTGCTTCTCTTGACACCAGTAATACAATTGGAAAAAATACCCTAAATTCTTTCTTTATTTTCAGAATTTACAACAAAATTTGAAAGTGCCTGATCATTTATACTAAAACAATTATTTGTCTCAGGCTCAGTGAACATTGTTGAATAATCTCATCGACTTCATCTCGTGGGTGCTTCAACAATATTCACTTCCCCTCTGATGAATAATTGTCAATCATCTTTAGCCCTTAGAACACAAAACTGTTCAGTGTGATGGATCCCTTTCAAGCTTCACACAAGTTGGTCTTCAAGTGGTTTTTAAGAGACTAATTGATCACGACATGGAAACTGTGACTACCCTGTTAACAAACATGGTATGTTTGACTTCAACAAAACAAGCATTTCTTTTAAGTCACTTAGAGTTGTTTTCCCTTAAACTAGACAAGAACACTTCTTTTTAGCAAGAAAAGTATTATCTGACTTCTGTAGATAATCAGACAAAAAATTTGATGTATATTTTTCAAAATATACATAAATAGCTTCATCCTTTTTAAATACACATGGAACCAATACATGTATTTAATTCTGAACTATTTATTTCAGGGTCGGGATGTTTGGCAACAGCTTCACAAAGTTTGTCTGTACACGCTTCACAGACCTCTCAGAGATTTTCTGGTAAGGCTTCTTTGAAATCGGTGAGTTGATAGAAAAGTTTCCAAGAAATCAATAATTAGAGTGAAATTTTGAAGCTGATTGGAACATGTCCCTTTAATAGAAGGTTCAATCAGCCTTGTAGTCCATCATTAGCTTGCCTATTTGGTGAAAACTATTTGTGGTTCATATTGGAAGACCAAAATTCATCTAGTTCCCTGGCTGTTCTCCTCATGCAGAGGACCTTTACTTGGGAAGTAGAATGTAAAGGGAAGTTTGTTAAAAATGAAAAAATGCCAAGTGCTGTGTTGACTTGTCATCACTTGGCCAAAAGCAAAAGTGTAGATAACAATAAACAGTTTTCTTTCATCTCCAATAATCAGTAAGAATACCCCAGCCCCTGTTCATTCACTATATCTTAGTTATCACCTGACAGTCTTGTGTCAGTACCTAGTAAGATTACCATAAGTTAAGGAAATTCTGCAGCAGATTCTAGAGAAAATGGCACTATAGTACTGTGTTGGGGATGCCAGCATCACAATCATTTAAAACCAAGGTAGCCCCTGTTTTGACGACAGTGTTGGGACCAAGACAAGGGTTCCTTGAGTAGATGTGCCACTTCAAAAGAGATAACAAAAGACTGGTTTCGGTCTAGGACCAAACTTTGTTTCCCCCAAACTAAAATTCTTGTAAGAGGAACATGTATTTATACATATAAGGGTACAGACATCAATTTTTGTTAATTGATAATTTTTCCATGGGTAGTTGAATGAGCTAGAATCAAGAGATTTCTTGCCAGCTGAGGAAAGGAATGTGGTGGAGTTTTCAAAAACCTTGGAAACTTTATACAATCAACCATCATTCACAGAAGCTAAGAAAAATGTGAAGATTAATTACTTGAAAGACAGGTCTGTGACGAATGACTGCAAATATTTGAATATCATATATCTGAACTGTAGATTAATTGTAAATGAATGTGAGAGTGATCTCCACCATAATAAACACTACCAGTACTTAAGCAGTGGTGACGATAAGGCTTGCAAAAAAATTCAGAGGTGTACGGGAGTTGAACTCACGACCTCTGCAATACCAGTGCTCCACCAACTGAGCTAACAAGCCAACTGGGAGCTGGTCATTTTGTTTGTTCATAATAAACCTGTGAAGTGATGAGTAAATGACTGTGAATAAATGAATACCATTATGTGAACTGTGGATTGAGTTGGGGGGGGGGGGGCTATTTTTGGCTCTGTTATCTCTGTTGAATTATTTTTATTTTTGCAAAAAAGTGGGGGGGCTAAAGCCACTCCATCCCCTCCCTCTGCATGGTCCCCGTGTAGTATTTTTGTTGTTAAGATAACATTTTAGTACCTTGTAAAATCCATAGGAAAATGCAAATACACATGGGCAGGATTGTGATGTTGCTTGACCATTATTTAATCGTTATACATGTAGCTCTACAGTTGTAAACCTTATGGATGTGCTGTAAGACAAACCATATCAAGACAGTATGGTATGTTATATCTTAGCTGGAGAGACCTTGGATTGTTAAAAAGTTCTTTCAATCTGGGTTCAGCTCAAATCCTTGACACCTACATTCAGAGTGGGAATTTAACACCTGTGGACCTCAACAAGCAGGTAAAATCTTCACTGATTTATTTATGTTTGTGTTTTACTTGTTGTGCAGGTACTCCAGAGGACAGTATACCAAGTTTGGGCACAGGACTTGGAATAAAGATTTTCTGAGTCTCTATTTGCTAGAAATAGTTAACTCTACATGATTATCCACAATTATATTAAACTCATTTAGCAGCATGTTGGTCCTCATCCCTCCAATGGTCATTCTGTAATCCAATTAAATTATAATATGAGTTCTATTGGACACACAGTCAAACTACTGCATACTTGGCCACAACTTGACTAACCTGAGCTATGAAATTTAGTTCACTCAAAGTGCTTTATTAATTCTCAGATTGTTTTCCCCCCATCTTACATTGTACAGAGGAGTTGTACTATAGTATAGTCCACATTACACTCAGAGTGGTCTTCTTTGTAGGGGAATGGAATAAGTGAAGTTGAATCAAGAGCAATATTATGCAACTTCTCCCGCAAATAAATTGGTTGCCCATTGTCACTGAATAATGTTTTATGCAGTGAGGTTTTGATCTTTTTGTTTTTGCTGAGGCCAGATTGAGAATCTATAAAGAAGTGTTGCTGTGATGCATTTCTCTCATAACTACATGCAAGTAGATCAATGCTTTTTATGATTGTGCAGGTCATTATGTAATGTACTTATGTTTTGATAATGATATGATTTCACAGGATCATTCAAAAGGCAGTAGTTATGTTGAGGTACCTCTTGCATGGGTTTGTTCTTGGGATGAGCCATCACGACAGAGAATTGTAGCAGATAGGATTTTCTCACATAAAGGTAGAGGACTGAACTTAAGTTATTTTGGTGTTTATCTTTACAAATGACTGAAATGAATAAACTAACCTAAAATGTAGAAGACACCAGCATCCAATTCTCAAAAGAGAGTTCCCTTGCAGTATCTAGTTCTTCAGGTTAGTATAGTTAGACCAAACATATACCCATGATCAAGCCAAAGTATACTTCATACCTTCACAAGTTAATGATGAACAAAGTGATGGAAAGTTTCTGAGTCATTTGAGGAGCATAATACTTTAATTTATGGGTGGATAATGCTGTTCACTGGATAAATCTCTATCTGGTGGATAGTGCAGTCCTTTCTGTTAACACTTATCTGCTGGATAGCTATTTATACATTGGATAGCATCATCCACCCTTTGAACAACTGGGCCTAGATGGTTAAACTGGTTGGTTAATTAAAAGCATTAATCCTAAGTGATCCAAACAATATATAAAAAGAGCATCCTACTGGTACATATACAAGTATTTACCACTCTGTAAGGAAGGATTCCTAAGATCAAAATGCTTGAACTAGACTGTTTCATTAATATGATTAAACTGAGGTTGAGCAAGATAGCAACCTGTTTTTTCAGCTGGAGATTATAGTTGTCCACATCCAGATATTGGGTTCAGTTCTGAAGCACTTTGGGAGTACCTCTCCTCTCATATGGACTGGCAGACTTTGTTAGGATGGATTAGATCAATTGCCCATGATAACAATCCACCTCATGACGATCTCACACAATATGTGGGTGCGATGAGTGTCGTTCATGACTGGAACATTATATTCCCTTCACTTCCGTGTTGCATCTTCAGTGGAGGAAATTTCTGTCACAAGGTTGTCAAAGCAATGATTATGGAAGAGCTTTCAAGGTCAGCCCATTACAAAAGTTTTAAACTCATTTTAGGGAAGATAACAAATAAAGAACTCATCTTTTATGTCTGCTTCCATATTTTTACTTCAGATCTATGCTTGTGTTTGTAGTATGAAGTCAAATAGTGTAAAGTGGGTGGAGATTCATTGTAACCTACCTCTTACATCTTTTCAGTTTTCTCTCGCAGCCTTCAGTTATCTTTTGTAATTTATGCTATTTTCACAAATAGTGATTACCAAAAGTCATGCTTCTGCACATTTAACCACATTGCACACACACCTGTATGCTATTGTCCTAGATGACATGGCACTTGATAGTGTTTTGAAATATCAATGCACAATGTACATATACTTTTTTTCAATTTTATTCTATTGTAATCTGCATGTTACATTTACTTACACCTTCTAAAATTAACATCACTTACTCACCTAACTAACCAACTGAAGGTCTCACTACTTACATCCTTATTTTTACCTCTTAAAAAATAACATGACTTAAACCTTTAACTTATTTACCTTCATATCACTTTACTTTCATCAGCATTGTTTTTGATAGTGATAAACTCAATGCTGAATTGTTACTTGACTTGATATACTTACAGTACTACTCAAACAAGTTCTTATGGAATCTAAAATGATAGGAGAAAAGTACCTTCATTACTAACACTTAAGAAATTTCATGAGGAGACAATGTGGAGACATTCAAACTGAAAAAATTTTTAAAAGGTGTCTTCATACCATTGAAACCTGTATGTGCTAAAATCCATCCCTGTTTGTTTGTGGAAGCATTGTAACTTCCAGCCTGCTTACATGTTGCCTTTCTTTTGTAGTTTATTGTATGCATTCTTTTGCATGCATCATTAATCTATAGTCACTAGTAATATTGGGCCCTATTTAGGAATGGATTGTTCACAACATCTCAGCTGTCAAATTTTCCCCTTCTTCTTCGATGTTTGAGTACTTCCCAGGCATTGTTTGGGCACAGTCTTCCATTTTCCTCTGTGGATGGTGGATTCAGCAAGGAATCCTTGCCTGTAGAAGGATGTCTTCTAACTGTTTCCCAGTTTCATCGATGTTTTGTTGACTACTGCATAAGACTGAGGCTTATTAACCTTTTGTACCACTACATAGACTTTTATGGGTGAGTAAGTTTATAAGATTTATGACTGGAGCAGTAAAGCTTATTTAAAATTAAATTGGATTTTAAAGCATGGGTACCTAAACTAAAGATGTCATTTTCTAGAACTACTTGAAGCTATGTGATGGACTTATTTACAAAACCTCTGATATTACATCAAATATATAAATATTGTTTGTTAAGTTCAACTCCTGTGGTGTGGGAAATTTTTCAAAATCAATTGTGACTCTATATTTTGAAATTCTGCAGTTTTTTGGGCCTTTTTGATATGTTTTACATTGTTAATTTATATTAAAAGAGGACTTAATACTGATACAAACAGGTTTAAAATTCAGAATGATGTTTAAGGTTTTTAATTTGTTTCCTTCCTTGTTTGTGTCAGTCTACTGAAAATGGGTCAATGTGGATGATATATATTTAACAGCATTGCTATATATTAATTGTTAAGCTGATGTTTACCTTTGAAGACTCTGTGAATCTAAGGAGAATGTTAGAGAACTCAACTTGGAATCAAGTAGACCACACTGGGTTGACATGCTTATAAAATGCCGTCTCTTGGGGCTCAATTCTCAAGGTACAAAATTTCTGTTGTTAAACTTTCCTCAACAAATAGATTATCACTGATGTAAAACAAATGCAGTGATAAGAACAGCTGCAAATAGAAATGAAATCAAGAATGCTGGCAATAAAAATTTCCGTAAGAAAAACAATTGGTGGGTAGTTAGGTGGCATTTGAATGTACAGTACTTGGTCAAAATTCAAACGATTTGTTAAGTGATTTGGTTTGGAGCTTGCATAAAACACATGTCTGTATGAGAAGGGTAGTTAAATGAATGTTCCAAATTTTACTTCATCCAAGTGATGAGGGGTAATTGTTTAATAGCAAAATGCCCCAAAGTTGCTGAACAACTGATAGCAAATGACCACACAAAATAAGGACCATAAGTGCTGACACTCTTGTTAAGACTCAATGCTCACCTTAAAATGATCTTTAGTCCAGGAGCAAGAGGAATCTTGGAAAATTTTGAGAAAAAAGAGAATACTTTGATACATGTAGATAAATAATGTTTTCTATCCAATGTGACTATCCTTTATAGATCCCTGTTCTGTTTTGCAAGCCAGTCTTGCCATTGCTGGGTTTATTTTAAGAGTAGAATCGCCTTCCATCATGACCACTCTGAAAGCTGGACATCCAGAATTGGCTATAAGCAGTCTTTTGTATGGGCCAAACACACTGAGTCAGGTAAAATGGTTTCATTCACATGTGATTTGTCCTCTCATCTACTCGTCATAGAATACTGCTGACACTATGTAAAGTTTATGGCAAGAAGGAATTATTTCAATTTGATATTTAAGACTTCCAAGAATTTTTGAATACTCAACAGTGATATTATTTGGTTAATGAAGTGTTCTACCCTAAGATAATAGTTATAACGGTAGCAGGATCACGCATGGTGGTAGGTTCCTGAATTCTGTTTGGCAGCTAAAAGGATGAATTACACTGATTTTATTTGAAATTACACATATGTAGTCTCTGGAATATAAAGAACAATGCAAGATTTACATATCTTTACCCTAATGGTTTAGCTTCATGCAAGTATGTTTTTTGATATACTAGCAGGGTGCATTGTTCACATTCAAACCTACACAGGAGTAGAGAATTGGTTGTTCACTCTGAGCTGCATGGATTCCCTTTTGCTTTAGGCCATCGTGTCATCAGAATCACAGTCAAACATTTCAGTGTGGCAAGTAGAAGACAAAGTTCTTCATGATTCCCTTTTGAGTTTTCCCAAAGTACATTCAGCTGTATTCCCTGTTTCATCTGGTAGCCTTGGCATTGAATGTCAGGATGTGTCAGTTTACAGACTTTTACAGGTACGCTGGAGGTAAATTATTGATTTCACCCAATAACAACATGGTGAATGAATTTAGATCACTGATACAGTAGCCAACTAAATTATAGTTATTGGGGTATGGGAGTATCATTGTTTCAAAGAAAACAAAGAAAAGACTTTTAAGATAAAAAGGTAATCTGAAAATTATTCTCATATTTTGGATGTAATATTTGCAAAGCTAGATTCATTAGATTTCCAAGTTAAATTATTCCTTATAACTACCCTGAGAAAGACTGTGTTGTTGACCTGTGCAATGGGTTTGATAAAAGATAGAAGAATGCTTTCTCTGGTAAGGTTTAAATGCCATAACATTTGTCATAGTTAGATTCAAAGAAAGTCTCCAGAAGCCTTTTCTCTGAAATCGTGCACTTGAGTGGTTCAATCTTGCTATAGGCTTGACAAATTTATTGACCTTTATTTTGTGTACGCTAATTTGTTAACATTCCTTCATCTTGCAGGGGAATTCACCATTTGAAATATCGCGACTTTTTGGTTGGCAGCCAACGAATGACCTTGCCCCAAAGGGAGGTAAATTTTTTCATATTGATGACACAAATTGTTATCATTTAAGTGGGGTAGATCCTGAAAAAAAATCGTTTTTGGTGACTATGACTGACGCTTTCTGGAGAGGTTATCATCACAAGTACCTGAGTCAAATGCATAGAAAATCATTAATTAGGAAGAGGATAGATTTTGAGTTCGGTTGTTGGGGACAGATGAATGGTGAACATTTAGAGAAAGCAATCAGATACTAATCCTAAGCAAAAACAAGATCCAAGGACCTCCTCAGAATTTTAATTTTAATTGAAGATCATTTCAGTTTTATGCACAACGAAATTAGTTGTGAATGAAACATAGTGCTGCACTGTAATCACCTGATACATCAAGCAAACTCAGCAGCAACATCTGAGTCTAAAATGAAGTTTTAGTAACTGCAAAAAACTTTCTGGCTTTAAGGAAAAACACGCATAGCAAATATCAGTCAGGAAAAAAGCACAATGACTGTAATGCAGTGTCTCCATTTGTAGAAAAAAGTTTTGCTTGGTAATCCTTAGTGAAAAATTAAAGAGTACATGTTTCTTTTTGTGGGGCACCTTTTCAAAACATAATGGTAAAACTGATCCTGGACTTTTACCAAAATTCACCATGAAATTGCATTTTGCATGCTCTATTTCTCAACAAATAGAAATTTTTTTCCATGTCCTCTCAGAAAATAATGTATCTTTGACAATCCATGCCAACATGAGTTTACCTTGCGATCTTAAAGAACTTAAGAGGCCTTTCCTGAGTATGGGCTTTAGAGAGCCAAAGATGGTTTTATGAAGATATTTTTTTCATTACCATGCGATTTTCAAAGATGACATGCATGTACGTGTGATTGTTTGGCTGAATATTATTAATTCTTTAACTTACTTAAATGACTGATCTAAATGATACTCATTCCCTTTTTCAGATACCTCGTATGATATGCAGCATTTCTCTTGTGACTCTTTAGTTTTTCAACATGCCCATAGAGAACGTCTGACGTTCTCATATTACCTTCGTCATGGTAGACCCTCTTTTGCGTTCGTAGCTTTTATTGGAGAGAAACTTAAAGATGTTAACGTGTCTAAAGCTAGGTAAGTATTATTATTTTCATTTCCGTTTTTCATACCCCGTAAAAAATTGTCACAGTGCATTACAGTAGCTATCATATAATTATCCTCTCCTCTTGTATTGTTACAGCATCCAGAAAGCAGCACTGAAAGCTTACAGAGTTGCTATACAAAATCTAACGAATCCTTCGATATGCGCTGCATGTGTGGTCTTCACTGAGATGCTAGGAATGGATAGCATGACCCTGAGGGTGGATATACAGGCTGCTAGTAGACTATTAGCTCATGGAGGATCTCATGAAGATCTCTTTGGAGATAATGCCATGAGAGAGAATTCGATGGCAGATGCAATTGGTATCTATCTTACTAAGCATTAAATGTAATGGTGGTGATGTTACTTGAAGTGCTTTGCTGTTTTTCAAGGCTGAATTAAAGAATTGAGTTACCTCTCTCCTTAAAAATAGGCAATCCATATTGTTTTCAAACGTTTGAATTAACTATTCAACCAAAATTAGAAACGTAAGCTTTGTTGTAGAAATAATCATGGACATACTTCTTGTTTATTCTTGATGATAAATACAGCTTCCTTTCGCTATTATTTTAACCAAGAAGTAACAAATTATCATTGCAGATGATCTTTTCTTCATTTGAAATTTGTTTCCTTACCTTCAGCATCAGAACTTTTGTCATGTTCTGGAAAAGGCAGTGAAAAGCCTTTACGACTTTTAGTTGCTTTGAAAACGGCTACAAGAAATATCATCAGTAAGGATTGTTTGGACAAGTAAGTTAAAACCTGTTAATATACCTATGTAACACCAAGAGGAAAATCTTCCTTCTCCTGTACATACAAAAAAAAACTTTACAGTTGGATGTTATAAAAAAACCCACATTAATCAAGTTGTTTACCTGGACGGCCTGCTATTCATTGTGCATTTGATCCCCTGCTGAGTAACATTGTAAGTTCCAGTTTCTCTTGGTTACGCCACAGCTCTGAGCCACAAGCATTCTAGACTACAAATGGCCTTGATTGGCCACCATCCTCCCTGGACTCTGCTGCAAGTCAGACACTCGTGACCAAGAATTTAGGCTTTGAAGGCAACATGGCAGCTCTCTGTCATTCTCACACTTAATACATTTAGGGTCAAGCATTTGAGGGGTTTCTGTTGAGTTAAAGATTTTCTCTTGTTTTACCAGAAACTTGACTATGCTCTAGTTTATTTCCGTACCAGAGTGAAGAAGTGGACTCTGCTGAGGTGTTAAGTCGCTTTCAACTTAGAAACAGAAGGAATCTTGATTATTACCTGGCTATGTGTCACAGAAATCTTTTTACGATCATATAGGTAACAGTTCCTCATCCGCATTAGATACATAGAAGAAAAGTAAAACTAAAACTGTTAGTTAAGCTGTACACACAAGTACACACAAGTGTTTTGCAAAGGGAAAATGAAAACGTTATTTTGTACTCTAAATTAAAGATTCGTAAACTGTTTGTTTTATCTTCATTATTTTCTGCAGGACATCATTTGAAGCAGGCCAGCTGTGGAGTCTTGTGGTCCTATTCTGTCGAGTTCACAAGATGGAATTTCCAGTGGCATACTTACAGGATTGTGCAGTTGCAGAAAAGTGGCTGCCATTTATTTGCCATGCACAAGCTTGTCAAGTTCCAAAAGAGCAGGTACTTTTACCACATCATTTCCAAAAATCCCTTAAAAGCAATTTATATATGGGAAGCGCTTGTTTTCAATTCACAAGTGCAGAAGCATGAAAGATGCTGTATGTCTCCTGAAAATGTTTGAAATTCAGGAAGGTTTTACTAAGAAGCGATTTGTATCTGGAAAGTGCTTGTCTTTAATTTACAAAAGCAGAAGCACGAAAGAAGCTGTATATCTGCTGAAAATGTTTGAAATTCAGGAAGGTTTTGCTCATGAAGAAGTTATTTAATAGTTAAAAGGTTTATTCGACAACAGGTTAAAGAATGCCATGATTTGTTAGCCATTTCTTCATCAACTGTTTTGGAATTTTTGGAGTTTCAACATCACTGTTCCTTTTTCCTGCTGTATTGGCGTTCATGTGTTTTAGCAAGCTAAATCTATTATGTTTTGGTTTAAAGCTTGAGCCATAGAGTCTGCCTTTTCAATTTCAGGTGATCTATGTCATTGAGCACAACTTCTCTAACTCTTACATCCAAGAACATTTGCTTTTGGCCTTTGAAAATGTCAAGTTGATTAATGTAGAGAATGTCTCTAGCAGTGAACTTGGCAAGAGGCGACCCCGGAAAAGAAAGTTGGTCAGGACAGGAGAACAGGTAGCCTTGTTATTTCATGTTGAACGTTTTGCTCACAGGGAGACAGCTTTAAAACAAACCTAAAAATATTTGCGGAAGATCTGCTCATTCGTGTAAAAATGTCATAGAGGAGAGGAACTTCAGGAGTTCACTGCCATCAAAAATTTGACTCGGGATGCTAAAAGGAAACTGGCAACGTCAATAAAAAAATCAAACAAGTTTCTACTGATTTAATATGTTTTTCAAACACTTACGTTTCATTATACCCAACAAGAAATTTTTAACTAATCTGATGGAAAAGAAAGAAAGTAAGTGTAGCTTCTCACCTCAGTCATCTCATAAACGAGACTGGAAAAACCCAAACTTACAGCAACTGGCAACAAGAGAATGTTGCGAGGTCAACATGCAACAAGGAAGTCACGAGCGGCTTTTAAGATTGCTTTTACTGGAACATGGCTTCCCTCTAGAATTTGATTTTGAAGTGTGTGCTTCTAACTCCTTTAATCCTACGTCACTTTCTTGGTTGTATGTAATATATTCATAGCATCTTTACACCATATTAGAACTTAGGAATATCAAATACGTGTCACTATAAAAAACTGGATCATTGAATAATGCAATTTAAGAGTTTTAATTTGCTTAGTTGTCACGGGTTGCGAGCCACAATACCATGAGCATGCAAGAAGACGAGTTAAACAAGAAGTGTTTTTGTACATTAAAACATTCTTTTAATTTGCTCTTACAAAAGAAAGTTGGTAGATGTACCATTCATATTTTGAGACGTTTTTCATGAAACATTTATTCCACTCGCCCTTGTGGGCTATCTCTCGTCTCTCGCGACTGTAGGGTAGTTTTTTATCATAATCCATCAAATATTTATGCTCGCAACCGATTGGTCTAAATGCTCTACGTGGTTGAATATGCCTTAAGTGAAACTGAGGAACATCCAAGGATATGTTACAAATGATGCAACCCAATTTTCAAACTTTCTATTGTTAGAAAAGTGTTCATTTGAAATTTAATTGAAGATGAGAGAGCGTTTAGCTATAGTTACAGAAGAAGTGACATATGTTTGTTCAATATGTTGTACCAGAGAGCACTGAAAAGTAGACATTCCACCAAACAAACAGTAGAATGTTCATAAATATTTGAAGGATAGTAAACACAATATCCTCCATTTAGGGCGAAAATATTCTTGACATCTATATTTGTCCTTGGACATAATCTGTTCCTCGAAGCTCACAGTTTTCCTTGAGCTTCGCTGTCAGAAAACTCTTCAGATCTCAGAACAGGTAAGGTCTGCAGACAAATGTCCATGAACATCTTCATGCCAAAAGGAGGATATTGTTTATTTAGTATTTTATCATGAGTATCTAGTTCGGGTTACGTCTTTACACAGTGTCATGAAATATGCATGTTTGGACCAAAGGGAGGTCAAAATGGTTGGATATTGGCCAAGATACTTTATTCGTATATTTTTTAATTTATTTAAATTTGTTTTTTAAATGTTGAAAATGAAAAAGGCTCATAAATATATCTTATTAGACCTTTTGGTGTGTAGTATCGCTGAGAATTTTTACGAGTTGTGCCGTATTTTCACAAGCCCTACAGTACAATATAACCAACTGTCCAAATAACCATACAATATCGCAGGATATTTGTACTCTATTCGCGCGTTATTTCTACTCTTCTTTGCACAGTTATAACAATTTTTAGCGATCGTGAATATGGCTTGGAAATGATTGACATTTTTTCATTCTTTAGGGTGCTCTCTGAATAGTGGTTGTTATAGGGAATGCAAAATGGAGAAGTTTCTCTCTGTAAAGTTCTTAATAACTCACTTCAATAATTAATAGTTCTCATTTATTACAAAGGTTCAGGTTTTTGTTCGCGTGTTGTTTGCCAAATATTCTTTGCGACAAGTTCTTAATGAGGATTGGTATCTATCGCATAAGCTAGCTCTTACAGAGTTATGTTTATTCCAAGGTCATGGCACCATCTCGAGATGTGCGTGCTCAGTTCTACTCTCGCATGGGTCTCAGAGCAACAACAGCTGCACAACCTGAAACTGTCAAGGAGGAACAAGTGGTGCATCCATCATGCAGCAGTAGTGCGGAAGATGAGGAAAGCAGTAGAATATCGAGAAAAGGCGATGAAAAGAAATTGGAGAACAAGAAAATAGAACATCACGCGGATGATACATTTGATGCTGGGTTTTCAGGTTGTTAAGACTAAATTCTGTCATTGAGGCTGCAATTATGGCATAGTTTTCATGCTTTGTTGTCAGTGGCTTAGTTAACTTAAAGGGAGGTTATATAGTTGGAAACTTGTTTCGTATTTTGAAACAAAGAGTTGCTAAACGGAATCCTTGTTATGTGCTAAGAAGGCTATCACTTCCTTACAACTTCCATTAGCATGATACTTTCAATGTTTTTACTTACTCTATGGGCAATTTGTTTTCAAGAAAAGCTCCTCGATGCCGATGAAGTACGACATAATCTTTTTGACATCCTGTTCAAATGCCAATCAGCAGAAGTTCCATGGAGGAGCTTACTAGCCTATTCAATAACGCTTCAAAGGTCTCTGCTATCCGTGCTTGCAACATGCTTTCAGGTATGGCTTCATTAGAAGAGTTTTAGTGCAATGAGAGTGTGCAACAGGTGAAATGATATTTTAACATTTTAGCGTAGGATTAAATGATCTGTGTGTTTTTCGAAGAACTCTATCAAACCAAATTTTAAGAGAAAATTATATTTTGAAACCCTCATGACTTACTTAGTAGGAGTTTTATTTGCCAAGAATAACGCCAAAGAAAGTTGTCAAAGGTATACTATTATTATCAGAATGTTTCATAGATTTATTGTCTGTCATGCTTTATTTTTACTCTTCAAGTTGTCTGAAGCAAAGCAAATTGTCACGGGAAAAAAAGCGAGACGTTACACTGAAAAGTGCAATTCTTGCTATTGAGGAAACGATAGCATTTAATTGGACATATGGAAAGAGGGGTTCATCAATGGGGAAGGGAGGGGCATAACACTTATACATGTATAACCGGTTTAGATTTATTGTGTTGTTTGATATTCAGTGGTTTTCAGCTACCATTAAGGAGAAGGGTCTATTAAGCAGCGCAGTTGTTTAAAGTTGGTCTTGGCCTTCCTTCGATTAGACATTTGTATTTTGAAAAGGTGTCTGTGTGGTCTTACATCATGTAGAAGAGTCACCTGGATATAGAGGATACAAAAACCAGCGCCTTCATTATCGACAAGATTTCGTTTTGTTAAAGTTTTTTGAATACCTTGATATTTGTTGATGAATTTGAGAGGAGGTTTAAGCAGCCTTATTGTTCTTCAAAGGATTCCAGGCCACTTGATTGCCTTTGCGCCTGGCTCTGCTCAACTGTGTGCCCATCTGTCTTGAAACCTGCTGTAGCGTCTATCCCAGGTATGGAGCACAGCTATATGCAATTTTTTTTTAATACAGTCTCCTCTCTTGAAGGGATGTATTGCTGACAATCTCACTCACCTTCTCTTTTAAAAGCTCTTCTAGTGCACTTACTTTAACCTATGACGAACCTTGAAAAAGAGAGTTATTGTGCCTGCTGATTTGATCTAAATTACCAAAGAATTGTATACCACATTTTGAAGACTTGGCAGTATCAGTTGGGGTATCAGTTAACCAAACCAACATAACATAACATAACATAACGTCTAAGCCTCTTTGCCGTTGAATTACTTAAGCTTCTGTGATAAATATATATTTATATACATATATGTTACGGAGACACTAGCACCACTCACTTACACGTTAGGTAAATTACTAAGTTAATCATACAATTCATCACTTACAGCAGATTACTTAGAGGACTGTTAATAAACTAATACCGTACTTCACTGTAAGCGCCTTAGGTGCTTACACCATTGATGTAGATAAAAAGAGACATGGGATTGTTTTACTATGTTGAAGATTATATGGAGTGACTGAAGATATTAACTCTGTTACCTTTGAATGAATGGTCACCAATGATATAATTATTTGATTGTTATCTAACATCTGACAAGACTGTCATCTCTAACGTTTAATACTCCATTAACAGGCAGTCGTCGGCGAGGCTCCTCGGATGTACAAAGTATGATTTGTTACATTTATGTTTTTCGTATGGCCCTAAAGCATGAACAATCTCATTGTGTTAGTTTCATTAGGTTCATTAACTTTTATTTGCTTTAACATGTTACACGCAAGACTTGTGTTTTGTTGTTGTCTTTTGTTTGAGTGTTGAAAATAGTCGAAGGAAAGTACATTACAATTATTAATAGATGCCAAAGTTTAAAGGAGGCTCACTATGTATTGAATGACCAGACTTCTTCATCGTTCAGTACGATAACGTCACCAATTAAAAAGCTTGTCATTGCTTACTGGACTGTCCTGCTGGAGTTTGACATACATATATTAAGTAATATATCTGCACAAGTAAGAGGAATGTTTGACGAAACAAATGAATCCTAGTAGAAGGAATCTACACTGACTGTAGTGTCGTGATGTTAATTTGTGGATCAGTGTATGATGTGAGGCAACAATGAAAAAAATTTGTAACTGTCCTGGCTGTTTTGATGAACCTTAGGCTTTTTCCAGATGGGACTATATCCATGTTAAAGATGAAAATGCTTGAAATCTCCGAGTAAAGTGAAAAAAATTCTTAATAAGTGAAGGTTTGGTCATTTTTAAATGGATTGGTCTGGAACGCCTGTTGTAATTGTTGAAAGGGACCCTAAGATAATCTCAATCATGTCGTTCTTTTTCTTGAAAGACTGACTCTTGGTAATGTTGTACACTAATGTCATCTTCTTCGCACTGATTTTCAAAATTCGCCAGTTAAGCCACCATGAATTGCATCGCAAACCACCTAAAATCCCGGCTTTAAGTCAATATCACTGCTGTAATCTACTAAATATTAAATGAAAGCATGTTATAATTCAACAGAACTTCAGTGGCATGACTGGACCCTGGGAGACCTTACAGCTCTCATTTTAGCAATTGTTGAAACGAGAGAGACACTTGCTCACACCCTGGCCAAGGCATTTTACATCTTTGATCCGGTGAGCTATGACTCTTATGACTGGCTATAAAGACCAAAACTGAAATCTGTTTTATGAGGTGTGAAGAGGTAGGACTAACGATACAATCCTTGTCACAGTTGTGGAAGAATTTCCCACTTCCTCCTTTTCAGTATTGGCAACAAGAAGATTGGACGGCCTGAAAAAACCGCAACTCAACCTTGAGAGGGTAGTGGGGATTTTTTTTTTTAACAAAACTTGGCTAGGTTTGAAGTTGCGAGAATGAATTTGAAATCCATGGAAATACAGAGTAATACTTATTGAAGAATGTTTTGTATTGTTGCTTCTCAGGCCAGTCCTCTTCTAAACTTTTTTCGTTTTCACGAGACCTTTTTGGTGCTCCGTGACTATGAAACTTGTCAAGGATATTTGACTTCTTTCAAGAACACTTACCGCAAGGTAGGTTAAAAATAGGTTGAATTACGAACATTTGTGTGGCTTAGCACATTTCTAGCACTGGACTACTTTAAAGAAACTCAAATCTCAAAATTAGTGGTAATAATAATAATAATAATAATAGTAATAATAAATCAGGTGTGAAATTTTTATAGGTAATCACATGATTTCCAGTGCAATTTGGAATAAATAAGCACGAGTAAATTTTTTTAAAGACTAACAAAATTGCACGAGCCCGTAGGGCGAGTGCAATTTGTGGTCTTTGAAAAAATTAACAGGTGCTTGTTTATTCCAAATTGCACGAGAAAAATTACGTGATTACGTGTTAATAATATACATGAAAAATACGAGATAGCTTATCATAAGTAAGCATAAGCAAAGCGCGCGCATCTAGTGCAAAAATAATTTATTCAAACCGTGCGTTCGGTCAAAACAACCGCGTACGATCAAAACGATAATATGCTATGGTATCTTCACATCTTTAAGGCGCAAAAAAGTTCAAAGTCCGGCTAAACAGTTCAAGGAATTGTTCAGTCTATGTCCGAATCACTTTCGATGAAATGGAATCGTCGTCTCCGAGGTTTAACCATGTTTGTTTTTTCATTTCGGCGTTGGATCGCTCGAGCAAAATATTAAGCTGGGTTAAAGCAGTGCTTTTTAGAGTGTTTTCGTTGTTTGAGCTGTTTTTCACCCGCAGTGGCGAAAGAAAACCTACTTGAAACGCCGGCCATTGCTTCGCTCGCAAATTTTCAAATTTTCAAATTTTGTTGCGACATCCAAGGCTCGCATTTGATTGGCTATCTGTGAGTTTCTTTGGTTATTGACCAATCAGAATGTCTGGTTTGTTACTTTCTTTGCTCTAAATTAACTCTCCTCTGCACTGAATTAACTCTCTTCTGCACTGAATTACCTGAAAACTGCATTTATCTTAACCAATCAGAACTGAGTAATTGTTTCATGTATATTATTAGTATTTAAATGACAATGAATTTTGAACTGAGAATTGTATTGAACCATGAAATTTGAGATTCTGATGAATTGTAAAACATCGTAGTGACACTATGGTAAACTCTTGGATAAACTGTGCAGAATATGATGAGAGTCTACAGTTATTATCCTCAGGTTACAGAATAGCCTGGATATTTGCCTCTTAAAATGGGTAAATTCTTAAGAGGAAATCGTCAGTAGTTCAAATTTTGATTGATGAGCCATTTTTGTAGTACATATCGGGCCCAAAATTAGGCCTTCATTCCTTACATGTTCCACCTTATGTTCCATTCATACCAGGTAAACACGTTTAGTTAAACCAGGTTTAACAGAGTGAAAATTAGAAACAGAGAACTAGCAAACTGAATTTTCCATAGGATTCAAGTGATCTCTAACTTGTATTTTCTATGTGCTATATTTGACCTTCACAAACATGACAAACATGACACTTATGTTAGATAACATAAAATAACCAATTTAAGATAACATATAAGAGACAACATAAGATAACAATATGTTATCTTATGTTGCAATATAAGACGACGTAAGTTAACCAATGAACTTCAATGACTTTTGACCTGCCGTGTTTGCAAATAGTTGACCAGACAAGATTTTATCAACCCTTGCTTGGTTGTTTGAGTTGCTCATCTTCTCTCTCATTCTCCTCTTGATCCTTCCAAATCCCAGTTTTTCTTTTTGATAAAGTTTGCCTGAAGCTAAGTCTTATTTCATTTTGCTTAGGCGTCTTTCGGACCCCGTCATCATAAAGAAGTGACTTACCTTCGAGACTTAACGCGGTGGGGAACAAAGACATTAAGTTCTCCCAAAGCGATAGACCATGAACTTGATAGCCAGCGCAAAGACTCAAACCATGGCTAATCCTTGCTAAACGAGCGCAACCTGAAACCAGATTGCACAAAGTATCACATGAGAAGCACTTGACTAGACTTCTGTACCTTTAAAGGCAACAAGAATTAATTCAACCTACTTGTCAGAGCTAGATTTGTGAACTTTTTCTGTTGTTCAATCCATAAGATACTCAAATTTCGCACTGTTTGACTTTGAGAAAGAGATTATCGGTAACTGTTGTGATTACCCTTATATGCGAAGGTTAATCTAGCTTCAGAAGCTTATTTTCTTGATGAGTGCTCAAGTTCATCATTATTCAAAAATTCTACCTGTTTAAACTAGAAGCGTTGACAATGCCCTTGTCACCATGTTCCCTAATGTGAGTAGTTGTTACTATTACTTGAAATTAGTTGTGTTGATAAATGATAAACTCACTTTGTAGTTATCATTGAAAGCCATTGCCGACAAACACGAGGCTGCACTCAAGATTGGAAGTTTGAAATGGCTGGAAGAACTGACTTGTCAAGTCACGAAGCATATGCTCTCACGCTGTGACAATGCCCACCAACAGGGCCATTTACTTGCAATTCTAGCAGCAAGCAAGTTTGGACGAAACTTTGAGTGTAAAGGTTTGTCTTGATCACTTAACTTGTAGGGCATAAGCAAGAGATGATATTCACAGGGTAAAAAATCTTTGAGCCCCTCTGAACGTTTCCTTTTTCTTTGAAGAAAAAGCACACCTAGAGTTGTTAGAAAATGATGAAAAATTGTCTAGCTCTAACAGGATGGTAAGCTCTATTAGAATATACATCCACTTCCAAGAGGACATCTTTTTTGAATCTGAGACAATTAGATTTGAAGCCAGATATTATAAATATGTAGCCCCTTTGTTTACATACTCTGGTTCTGTTTTGATTTGTATTTTAGTACCCGCTTATTGTGAGCTCCACGAAGTGAGTAAACTTCTTCACGGCACAAATACGAACATACGACTTGAGGTAATGGTGGAGCAGGGAGATGAAGCTGACAGCCAAGCTGAGAAGGAAAGAGTGCTTGGCTCCCTGCTCAACACTAAACAGTTTGCAAAGGCCAGAAGGTATGCTGAATTGATGGGCTTGTCGAATGATCACATTACAATCAAACAGGTGAGAAGACCTCAGTAGCATTACCACACTTTGAATGCAAAATGGCATAATTTTTTTCCTTATCTTTTTGAAAAAAAAACATGCTTACTGGTAGAAGGGGCTCGCAGGGATAAAGGTGGCTCAACAAGGTCTATAACTAGTCAAAATTTGATCTTGACTTCTTAAACCCAGCCTTTCAAGACTGTGAATTCTGGAAAGAGTTAGGTCATGTAACTGCACATCCTGCTTTAGGCACAATGAAGTGTTCATCAAATAAATACACATTGATCCTTCAATTTTTTGATATTCCTGTTATTTATGATAAAGTCTTCAAAGTAATGCTAAACGTAGTCAAAATGATAGCAGTCTGAGTCTGTTATACGTCAACACCTCCAACAGACCTTACACTTCCCTTCATTTCTACTTTTCGGCTGTAGGTTGATGCTGACTTAGAAATTGCCAAGAATTCCATGTTGTGGGAAATAGAGCAGGGAAGACTGGCTTTCTGGCACAGAGCAGAAAAGTGCTTCAAAGGCAATGGTTGTAAGGCAGACACTGCAGGCTCATTCTTTGAGGTGAACAACATTTCTTTTGTCTTGCTCCGCTAGCCTTTACAGAAATGGGTTCACCAAACAAAGTATCCGTTCATCTTGAATGCAGAAAAATGAAAGTGAAAAAGGAGCGATAAGTTTTGTGAATATGTGATTCAATTCACTGCTCTTGTGGGAAAAAGTCAGTTATTGACCGAGCCTGCTCTTTCAAGGGGGCTGGATATTACCTTCTTTGTAATTTTACCTTATGGACCACGAATGCAAAAAAATGAAATTTTCCAATTCATAACTTAACATGAGAAGTAGTTGAGACACTTCGCGTGCTCTTATCGGTCCATAGGTGTTATTAGACGAGTTTATAATCACAATTGTAAAGTATATTTGAGGAAAATTCCTGTAATACTGAAATTTTGCAATCACGCTTGGTCTGTAAGGCATATTTTATGATTCTCACACAAGTGCAGTACTTTCAACTACAGCGTGAAGTCATCTGTCAGTTAAATCACGTCCCATTTGTTGCACTTTTTCATCAAGGGCCATAACTTTTATCATGATTACAAATGACCTGATGGATTTTAAAACAGATAGCTAAGAAGAGCTGAAAGGAGGGTGGAAACACTTCTGAATGTATTAGGATACAACTGTACCAATCTTTTGAACTGCTAACTGTTTGGATGGCCGAAGTTAAAATGGCCAAAGTCGGTGGATAAAAATATCTGATTTATTACTTTACCTTGCAGAACCAAGCTAGCGATACTGAATTGTCATTTAGTGAACGCGCTATGCTTGTTGGGATAGCTGTGAAGTGGTTTTCAAATCCCTCCTCTAACCAGCAACCAAGACCATTGGTGGAGCTGGAAGATCTTCAAAAGAAACGCTGGCTGTATAAGATACGAGCAGAGATTGAGAAAGAGGTATAAAATCTCAAATGAATTACACAAGGACTGTGATACAAGCCATAATAATTGTTAGAGGAAACTCACGCTGCATATGTCCGTAAAATATTTTGCGATTATTTCTTAGTTTTAGACATATGGCTAAACATATTGAAAACTTATTTAAGCCCAAATACAGTTGAAATTTAAAACAGTATGTAGGATTTTCCTGTGAGTGTTTTCAAACCTTGGGATCATAAAAGTTCTTAAACGAAGTCACATCAGTGAACACGGTAAAGTCATTCCTCACACTAACTTTAGAGTGCACCTTTTTCTTTACATCTACCTTAATAGAGTAGACAGACAGAACACTATACTCCTACAAACCAAACAACTTTATTAAACAACTCATAATATTCTTATTAAGGAGCGACTCCTAAACGCACTACTGGCAGTAATTATTCTTATTAAACTCACTTAAGCCCACTAAAGACTATAACTTATTTCGCCACTGACACAATCTCTCAATTGTCTCAAATTCCCCTGGAATGCACAATCTCTGAAGATCTCTGAAGTGTATCACAGTAACTCTCTCGGTATAGCATTCCAGGCAATTGGTCACTGCTAATAAAAGTCCTTTTTTTCTTTGTACATTTACAAAGTATTTTAGAACATTCCAGAAGCTTACAACACAAGTCTTTGGTAGTATGACATCATAACTACATAACCCAGTAGAATTTTGAAGAAAGTTACATGCTATGACAGTAGAAAGTTCCTGTACGCATGTAGAGAAATTTCTAAAAACTTACTCTTACAGTCTCTTTAACAGTATACATATTGCAAAACAATCTTGCTTCTTTAGTGGAAAGATCGGATTGTGCAGCGAACTGACTTTATAAAAAAATCTCAGACTCATTTATAGAGAGAAGAACTTGCAAATTGTATCGGTGTTCAATAACTGGAGATAACTTATCTTTGAAGGAGAATATCATGTGGGTACTACAAATAGACCAGAGAGAGGAAGGGGCATTCAAGGGTGGACCAATTGCTCTGACAGGTCCTTATATGCTCGGAAGTATAACTTTGCGAACCTATGGTGCTTATTCTTGAGCTAAAGAATTTCCTTAAACGCATGCTCTGTGGATGAGTTCCAAAAAGTGAAAGTGGTCAAACTCTTTTGTGCCTTATTACATTCATGCTCTTTTTCCCCTTTTAGGGCAGTTTAACCAGATCTGTTAGCCATCTAGAATTTCTTTCGCACGAAATGGAACTGGAATTATCAAGCGAAGTCAAAACAAACAGCAAAGTTTTGATTCCTCTCAAAGCTGTTGATTTGAAAGAACTAATACAAGAGGATACTGCCGAAGGACAACTTCACGGTGAATGTCCACTGGAAACCGACAAGGTTACAGAAAAATTTATACTAAAGAGATGTGCATCAATACCTTTTTTTTTCAACATTGTTATGGTTTATTGACGATTTGTGTGGACATTTTAAAAATGCATTTTATTTATGTTTAGGATTCATCAACCTTTCCTTTTTTTTGCCTTTTATTCTGCCACAAACTGCTGCAACTTTTGAGCTTATTTTCATTATTTTCCAATTTTCTGAAGAATTTGGTATCTTGGCGGTGAATTAAGTACCTACTTACTTTTCCCGTTGTTTTGATTTGGTTTGATAGGAAATCCGAGCGTTGGAAAATATCATCGGTTGCCTGTTGGAACATTGTCATGTGAGCCAGGCGCAATGGCTTGCAAGTTTATTCAATCACAGTTGTTTAGCATTAGACGTGGTCATGGTAAGACCTTTCATTGTCAACTTATCAGCGAGAAGAAGGAAATGTTAATTTAAAATCAATCTTTCTTGTGCTGGCTTAGCTGGCTAACAGTGTTAAAAGTCCTTACATCCTTGTCTTCAGCAAATGATTCTAGAGAAGCTCTCTCCTTTTGTTATTGGTTGCTGTTTTCTGTGTCATGAGTAGTTCACTTGAGGGGTTTCCACAAGGTAATGTCAGCCAATTAAGTTCATAATTGAACGAAAAAGGAAACAACAACGAGCTATTGTTTAACTCTTGTGTTGATATATCTTACATAACATTATAACACAGTGAGGGTAAAGAATTAATAGCCTCTTCTAAAAGATAAACGTAGGCATTCATCTTCTTGCGAGTGAAACATTCTACAAGGTCTAGGGTGGTAGATAAAGGGAGGGGGTTAAAGGAGGTGCTGTTGGTAGGAGGTTCTGGTGGGAAACTCGAGGTACGACTATGCTCTTTGGTCCAATAGCAAACATGTTAAAATATACTTAACGCCCTGTCATAACGTGGAAACTTCTTCTCTAAACAATATTTCAATGTTTTCTATTGCCAGACATTTCCCATTTGATCATGACATAATATATACCGGTGAGGCAGCGGGGGGGGGGGGGGAGGAAGGAGATGGAGGGCACAGCTCCCCCCTCCCCCATGCTCCTCGTTTCAGTGCGATTTCTATTGTTAGCAAATCTTGAAATTGACATATAGAAATAGTTTCATGCACTTCTAAAACTTTCACAAATGGATTACAGCCACACTAAATACTTAAAAGACAAAGAGGTTTATATTCGTTAGGGCTTGTATTAACATACCTGTCTTAACTCTGCATTAGTCTTGCATTCACTTGGCTCAAGGAACACGTTCCATGGACACCTTAGATGTCCATGTAAAAAGCCTTCTCACCAGAAATGCTCAGAGACGTGAAAGCCTTGGAAGAGCTAGCCCATTCACACGGTCTGGTAGTTTTATTTTCTCATCGTCTTTCACGGAAAAGACTCCAAACGAGCGTCACGACTCCGTTTCTTCATCTGATTGGGTCAAAGTTGAAGATATCATCACTACCATGGAAAGCCTGGCTTTTCACAGTAAGCAGGGAAAGAGGTGTTGTTCCTGTGTCATCACCTGCTACAAAGTTGCACAGGTAAGATATTTATTTTATGGCTTGTACCTGTTGCTTATGTAACGTGCACTCTTCTCTCTCGTAAAGCCCACTCGCTGACTATTTATAATGTAAATTTGGAATAAAGCAAAACGGCATTCAAGCGCTGCTTCTTCTTTTTTTTTCTTTTTCTTAAAAAAAATAGAGGTTATATGAACCAATTTTAAAACACTTTGTGAGAGTAAATCACCCACAGCCAACGTTTCGGGAGAACAGTGAAGGAACAGGAGGAACAAGGGACAGGACCAAGAATAAAGTGAAACTTTGAATGAAGAGAAAAATAGTAAAAAACTAGACGAAGAAAAATGTTTTCTAAAAAAACATTTGTGAATGATGCGAAGACATTTCAATGTATGTTTTCGTTAATGACTCAGGGAAGATAGACGTTTTGGACTTACTTTGCTCGTTGCCGGAGTTTAACAATGCTGTCCGCAAAATCAAACTTAATGTCAGTAAGAGCCACCTAACGTGCCACCGTTTTCTGACGTAGAATTTCATGTGGCGAATTCCCAATAAACTTTCTCGTGACTAGGAAATGATATTTGTCTCTTTCAAATAATCTGTTAGACGCCAACATTCCAAAACAATCGGTTCAACTGAAGGACGTTCGATGTTTTCCAAGTCGGATAAATAGGTCAAAGTGTCAAATACCGCCAACCTAAAGGTTTTCCTTTACCAGTAAGATGTACAAGTCTGAAGCACTCCTCTGCATTCATTGACGTTTGGCTGTTGATTCTTGAGCCCTGACAAATTTTATTTTGTAAAGCAACTAGTAATGGTAATAGGACTGAAAGGATCCAGTTTGGTCTGTATTCATACGGGTGACTAACAAAATTGGACAACCGTGAAGTGGGAGTAACACATGTTAAGTTAGAGTATATATGAGTATATATGATCAATTAATCAAAACTATGACAAAATTTTTATTTAAAAGAAACAGTATTTAACTCAGTTGATGAAATGTGTGGCAATAATGTGCACATATGACGCCTACTGTCCAATAACAAAGGCTTGAAGCTTTCACTCTCAAATTGGGCTGGTAAGAGCCATTTTGTTGAAGTTTTTGATAATACTTAAGTACTTTGTAATCATTAGTTATTTTAACGGTTTGGCAACAGATGCCCAGCTTAGCACATAATACAATGACAAGAAAGAACGATCAACTGGAAGATTGCTCGTACCCCGACTGATCGAACAATCAGCCTGGCCATTTTAGCTGGCACGAAAGTCCAGTTACGTATCTATCGAGCTTTGATGGCGGGATTTCTTGATTGGAGGACTAACTCTAAAGGTTTTCGACTTATTTCAAGCGAGATTGTGTTAAAAGAAACCTAGGGCTTTCACTGTACTAGGTGGATGGTTTTGAACTGGTCTGCCCCATTAGTGATTTTTTGGTGAAGAGCGGCTCAGCACCGGACTTGTCCGAAATCGACCAAAATTGGCCATCCCTCCTATATCATTCTTTGCGCTCAGATGCCTGTCCATCACTAAACTCTTGAAATCACAAACATTTGCTATTTTCAGGTACAAGAACAACATACAAAGCATTTCTGGTGCGTTTGATCACTGTCCTCTACAAGTCTTACAGCCATTACATGAATATAGAAATTGTCCGAACGGCAAATACCCGGTCAAACTATTTTTTGTACTATTACGTGTAATATTTCAAGTGTCTTGATTTGTTTCTCACACTGTGCTTAAAAGTCGTTTCATCTCAAGTCTGGGCGCCATCATTTTTTCAGGAAAAGTTAGCTGAATTGTACTTTTTTGACACAAATTTTTTTTATAATTCCCTTTCAGTCAGCCTTTGATCTCTGTTGTTCAATTTTCTGAGTTTACCGAGTTAGTTATCATCTATTCCAGACACTAGGGCAAGATTACGAGGAAATTGTGAAAAAGAAGCCCCTGAAGGTGCTCCATTCGTTGTTACTTTCTGGATTTGACAGCCGCTATAAAATGATGGAGGGTTATATTAAAGCCGTTCAACTTGATTCTGTAGAGGTAACATTTTGAGTTGCTATGCTGAGACATGATATCCCAGTTGAGTTTGTCGACAACTTAACATTAAATCTTCCTAATCATAATAACTTGGGTGTGAAGAATTGGAAGTTGGAGTTGAATGTGTATTGAGTGGTTGGTAGATAACCAGTTGAATAGTCATATAAATTAAAGGTTTCTGTTTGAAGCTCAGAAATGATTATGATGAATAAAAAAAGTTTATAAAGTAATAAATTTTTAGCGCAATTTTATAAAACATCAAAATATTTGATGAAAATATTTGTGTATTATCCAGTTTGCAGTTCTATTATTGTGCGGGCTTAATCTCTGACAACTGCAACATTTTATCCAATTAGGTAACTGAATTTTTGGCCAGTATCATCTTGAACTCTCTCATCGTTCACTGCACTGGTGAAGGTATATTTTTTGTATTGTCTGTCTGTTTTCATTCGTTTCAAATGCCTACTTGTTTAATTATTCAGTTAGCTTTGCAGGAGTAAGAAAATTGTTTTAATGTTCTTCAAGCTGGTCACGTACCGTTTCTCTTTTTATCCTGCAGAAAGAGACAGAAATCCAAATGAAATTTATAGAGCAGTGTTTTTATAATGGGTTTCAAACTTGTCTCTCTCTCTTGGTTGGAGAATTGACGTTTTAGATAAAACTAAAAGGAGTGATATGTATTCAATGGACAAGTTTTGTGGTTCAAATCCATAATATGGTGTTGTATTCAGACATTTCAGGGAAAGAATACAGTGACTTAACCGTAAATGCAGCACCGTCTTGTGAAGACATAAGTCACATGATTCGCTTGTGTCCCGACTATTCCGTGCTGGGCACTCGACTCTTAGATGAGGTTACAACCTTAATCAACGAACATGCACCAGAAACCATCCGTACTGGAGGTATATAATCTTTTTTCCTTCTTTTCATGTTTGACAGGCTATCAGAGTCATGAAAGATTGGCAAACAATTTTTAATCAGTCATTATCATTTATCACTACATCATTTAAAACCAAATGAACTTTGTATTCAAGTCTTTCCTTGCACTCTAAGTACCCATTCTTCTTTAGCGTCTGCATGCCACGGCCAATTAATTGAAATTGGTTTACGACTCATTGGTTTACCATTCTCGAGGTCAGATTGTTTAAAAGATTGTTGGCCGGTCTTGCTGTGCTCTTTCTGATGAGATTTAGAGAAGATGTACAGTCTGAAAAGAACCACAATGCGCACTACGATCTACGATGTGAAATTTGTAAAAGAGTGCGTCTTTAGCGTCTCCGGAAAGTGTTAATGGCAATGCCAGTTATTGATGTTAATTAATATTATCTTGGATACTATGGCAGATCGTATCCCCAAAAAACCAGTGTTTTTCTTTCCCCCAGTGGCATAATCCACAGCATCGGATTTTCAGAGCAACACGACAAAAAAAAGTGCTGGGTGTTACGTGTATCGGGCAAACTCTCATCTATGGATCGTTCTAATTGTTTGCTATTCGTGATTTTAGCTTCTTAGAAAGGATTAGGCCATAATGGTGATATCAGTATTTCAGTAGTGTGCCCGATATGTAGTAGTTCTGTGTATAAATGTGTTGTATCTCGAAGTTTGCACATATAATTCTGTCTTTCTACAGCACTGAGCTTGAAAGTGGAATTACTGGTTCGCGCCCATCAATGTCACACTTTAGCCTGTAACATGGAGGGTATTGCAGCAGTTCTGCGACATGGACGAGTACTAACAACTGCTTTGACTGAATCCAGAGATTACATGCTCATGGTAACGTGTTTCAGTACTTAAAACTTCTACTGATACTTCCACTGATTATGTATGGCCAATGAAGGAATATTCTTTGTAATACAAATGAATAAGGGGAGTAAGTTTCTAAAGAAACTGTGTTGCTGCGTCCACGGGAGAGTATAACAGGGTAATTTAGCATCATCAACCGGGTTGGTAACGTAAATTGGCCACCGTAAAGAGTTACAAAGCTGATGTTTCGAGCGTTAGCCATTTCTCTGACGAAAGACTAGCTCTCGAAACTTCAGCTTACGATGACCACTTTGTGTTATCAAACCAGTTGATAAAACTAAATTATCTTTGTAGAGACAGTTTTCCTTTTTCATAGGTTCGTTTGCTCACGGGTATCGGAAGGTTCAATGAGATGTCTTACATCATTGACACACTCTTTGAGCACGAGCACTTTGAACTTCTATGTCGGAAAGGAATTGACAAGGTAACACGTCTTTTAATAATACAACTGTAACCATCTCTCTCAAACTGACTGCACTTACCTACATGAGAATTTACGTCAATAAAAATATTGCGTTATTCTGAGTCACTGTAAGCGTCCCCAAAGACTTGTCTACAAATTGGATGAAAGTGTAAACCCAAAGAAGTAGAAACACCAAAGAGAATTAAAGTTCTTTGATTTTCTTCCTTTGAAATAAACACAGAACTTCACTGACACGACGAATCGAAGCTGACAAATCACAGTTGACAAAAGCTCTTTTTAGCCTCACAAGCCATCACATTCCCGTTTAATTAACAAATCAATTTCCAAAAAACAGACTTAGAACCAGACTTAAAACACTCTTAGTGCGGTTTATAGCTTATTGGCGTCTTTTGCATATGTTCTCTTGTTTCTTTTTTCCATGTCTATTACGCTCCATCAATATTTGTTTGTTGCTGTTTTTTACTTCAGGAAAATAAGCTGAAAGTTGCACTTCTTGATTACTTAAGAAAACAACATCCGGAGGATACAGATAAGTTTTCTCTGGTGGCGCATCACTTTCGCATGTACCGTGAAATTGCTCAGACTTTGGAGGACACCGCCGTCAAACAACTGGCTAGTTTAGGAAATTGTTTCCCAGGTACTTTCCCTTGATACACGATATACTTGGTTGTCAAGTGGACTTGGTTATTGGCTTATTGAAGTAATTTTGTTTGAAATGTGCTTCGTCAAGAACACTGGAAACTGTTTCGAAGGGTCAAAAGAGGATATTGCTTTTCAGGAAATAGCTAAGTTTTACGTTTGCGCCCCATAAGGATAACGTTACAAATGTTTGAAAGGCAACATTTCAAAATGTGGTTGCCAAACGATGACCAGGTAACAAATATCGAAAAAACAAATATTTGAAACAAAGCATCATTTTACAAACTTCCAAAGGGAAAGCCATGGTATGTTACAATGGATGAGGCTCTTTCCCTTTTTGGAATTGAAAAATCCTATGTTCAGTACCTTACGCTTCTTTTTTTACTTCCTATAATAGGTAAATGGAAGGCAACTTTCTTATTTTTCACCCTCAATGATTAATTTTCTCATTAAAGTGCAGCTCCTGATATCTATGTGGGGAATTAAGCGTTAAGAAACTTAATTATTTCACTACTACCCCATTTTACCATATCAGGGCAACGGAACGGGCAACATGTGGAATGATATTACATAGTTTAACAAATGGCGGCACTCATTGATCCAAACTTTTATTTTAAGTTTTTCCTAATTTAGGGTCGACTAAGAAACAATCTTTTATGTGTATCAGGTTCTTTTAAGGATCGCAAAGAACAATTTGATGGTTTTGTCTGTTTTGTTTCCATCTTTTGTGCTACTAATATGTGATCGTCACAATGCTGTGATAAGGCCGCGGGAAGTATTTCGAAAAATAAAGCCAAAATACTAGAAAATGAAATAAGAGTGGAATGGTAAATCTTTTATTCTATGGTTTAACATATAATACGAGCAGAAAATTTTGCTACTCATGAAACTCACAAAATATCCGGGTGGGTATTATATGTTAAACCATTGAAAAAAATGTATGTTTTGAGCCCCCCTTATGACCCTCTTTTTCTTTGTTCTAGGTAAGAAACACGGTCAGGGAAATGCTGAGAAAGGTGGGCTTGATCTTAAGATTCACTAAATTATATATATGCTCCTCGTATCATTTCGGTCTTAGTTCATCAACAGACAATGTGAAGAGTTTTCATATTGTCGTGTGTCAATGAAGAAGAGTTGTTATATTGTCATGTGTCATGAGACACGACAATTACTGGCAATTGCTGGCAACTGGAACTATAAATGCGCATGCTCACTCTAGAATGAACAAGAAATTGAAAAGGTACGCGCAGTGGAGAGTCCAGTGTGAAGAATTTGGACGGCCAGCATGTACGTTTACTTTTCGTTAAATCAAGGAGGTGAAGCTTAAAATAATTTAAGTATTCAAACTGGAATACATGTACTCCGCATTAAATAGACTGAAGTGAAGTCTTTTGGACCCTAGTAGATGATCTAAAATCAAAATCAGCCTACAAAATAAAGATATGTAAACATAAATTAATGTTCCGCACTCTTTAAGTTATTTTCGCAGTTGGATCCAGCTTTACTTTATTCAAAATTTAAATTCTGATCGGCTTTGTGGTCATTACATTAAACAAATACCGTAACAGTAGTCACCTAATTTGCAAGTTTATGCCGTTTCCCTTTCGCCGTTAATTTTTAAAGAATAAGTTATGCCTATGTCATTCTGTATTTGTTATCAAATCTGTGTTCTCGACTAATTTGGCTTTCGCGACCTTTATTAAAATGCTCCAGGAGCTGCAGAAGTTTTCGTCAAACTTAATTCCATTATGAAATCCTTCTGCTACGCTTCGGATAACTATGCTAAGGTAAGTGGGTAACACGCCGGTGACAATCATTATATCAGTGAGATAGTAATCTTTTTTTCCTGTCTGTGCGTTTGTTGTTGGGGCTGGAGTCAAAAAAGGAATGGGCGTGTTGACTCCAAACCTTAGCGAATGATTCTCCTATGTTTATTCTCCCATTCTCACCTGTAATCCTAATCTCTACAGAAAAAACAAGGTTGGTAATCTAGGTTTCCTTTCTTGTACTCATTAGGAGAACTGCTGGCGACATTCACAGACCTGTCTTAAGAATGCAAGATTGGTTCACCTACAGATCCAGTTTCTTTCCTCTGGAGTCACAGTAGTAAATTTGAACGATGTTGCTTTAAAGAAATTCCTCGCCCATCACACCCATTTTTTTCAGGTCAGAAGTGTTTGCATCGCAAATTGTTTTTATTTGTAATGACAGTTATTGGCATTTATTTAGTTAACAGCTGTCCATAGATTGACGATTTATGTCCTGTCTCTTAAACATGGATTGTCCATGTGTTCATGGTAACCGTCTATCTTCACATGATGTTTGTGCTTTTATGATGAGTTATTTAATAATACCAACATTCAACTCAAGTTGGTTGAATAGTTGGTAGTTACACCTGGTACTCTAACTTACTGATACTCTGTTTCTAATTCGAATACTCTTTTTGTGCCCAGTCTCTTCTAGTCGCTGATGCGTATAAAAAGCGTGACATTTCCTTGTGGGTTGATGCTATTTATAATCAAGTAGTGATGAAAGGCAACTTCAATTACCTTCAAGACATGAGCTCCGCCATGCCTCTCGCCAACAGTCTTTTTGTTGATGTCGTTACCAAGTAAGTAACACAATCATAAACCCTGTCGAGTGACTAACAGCTTTTAAGAAAGCAATCCGCTTCTTTTCGTGAAATTCGAATTTGAAATTTTCAACCAGAGTTCGCTTCAATACTCACCTTACATTATTCAACGTTGTCTGATCGGAGAAGACAGACTGCAACACTAGTCAGGGGGTAAGAGAGTCAAAATACGGCGGTGGGGATGAAAATGGTTTTCCTTCCTTTACTAAAAGAATGGTTTTCTAGGAACTAATAGTTGTAAATTTTCCTTAGGTACAAAAGTGAAAATGCACGCACATCTCAAGCAGCAGTTAATATGAAAAGGCTCTTGGGATTTGTTACTGATGTTAGAATGCGCTACAAACTAGCCATAGATCTGAACTTCTGTGACCTGGGAACCAGCATTCTTGAGGGAGACGGAGGGGCGTTTTTGAGAGATGTCATGGTTCCCTGAGTAAAGAGTTTCAAGGAGCACAGTATAAAGGCTCATGGAGCTTAAGCCCATGTTAAGCTGATCATGTGCCACTTCTGTAGTATCGTCCAGACATCACTTAGTCTTTGATCACTTTTTTTTAACTATGTTTGCACTTTCATTTAATTCTTTTAATCATAGCGCAACTCCGTCTAGCTAAGTGCATGGTTAGTCCTTTAGCAGTTAGTTTTAGTGTAAAATTTTGTAATATAAATCAACTTAGAAATGATCACGCATCGACACTAAACATCGTAAATAACTCGGGTATTGTTACCTTACACGGAGACACGAACTTTTTTCCAAGGGTTAGTCGAACCACAATTATGTTTGCAAGATCCTCTTTGATCCACTCCACATTTCCTGTCCCAAACCTCACCTTTGGTACTGTTATAGAATCTACTCCCATTATTAATTTTCTTAATGATAGCCCTCCCATACCACGCAATGATTGATCATACATGTACCATTGTGGAAACCCGGAACATGTTTTTAATTAATAAGTGTCATTGTTCAACAACGGAAAGATTCTCAGTCAACGCCACGATTCACTAAACTACCTCACACTTTGAGGGCAAGCAATGTAACAACAGGAAATTTCATTATGCCTCGAAGAGCTGTTTCTTAATTTCATCAAATTTTCACTATTCTTTATTTTTTTAAAATTTTTTTGATTCAGTAGCTTGATATTTTTTCCTCATAGGTGAGTGCATGCCGCATTAGAACTAACACTTACATTACTCTAATAAAGGTGAACAGAGAAAACCGAGATCGACATAATTAATATATGAACAGTTACAGTTTAAGTAGTAACAAGGTCAGCTGGTAAAGAGCATATATGAATTCTGTTAAAATCTAACCTAACTAAGGTAGTCACACATACTCGAGCCAGCTATAGATTGTATGCAGTTTACTTTCTTCTCTTTCTGTTCGCTTTCTTAGTCTGGTTCTCCTTATGTGTTTCACTTACACCGTTGTAACCTTTCGTGGTGAAATTTGTCTCGTTATCCTCCATATTTACCTTGTTGCTACGAACTTCATTTTCCAGTAATGTCAACCTCTCTTCCAACATGAGCAGGACACTTTCGATCTGGTGGATAAACATATGCATGTGTTCAACCCGACAAATGTTGCTAAAATAGAATGATTGATCTATTTGAGTACAAAGCTTGTTGTTTCTTTGATAAAAGCACCACGGGGATTCTTATCTCTTGGAAAACATAACGGTTCGCTCTATAAAGAACAAATCAAAATAGTGAATTCATATAACCTGAATGAGTTTGCTTCTAATACTCTTGTGAGTTGTGACCTGTTTGGGCATCCATAAGTTATTCAAGTGTTCACAACTGTTCCTAATTGTTTTCTCGCTGTAATTTAGTAAAAAAAACTCGTCAGCATATAACCAACCAGTTATACGAATTCACTCTATAGACAGAACTGTAACTAAACCAAGAGTCCGTTAAACTTGAGTGACAACTCACCAGTTTTTATGGCTTCTGCCTCCTATGGAGGCGAAGCCTTAATGTTGTCTCGTTCAGTGAGTGAGGGTAACAATAGAATACGAACGACCTCTTCGTCTAACAACGAAGTCGGCCGAGTTTTACCAGATATTCCACGCCCTTGGCTTTTGTTTGTTTCGGAATATCTTTGGTCGTTCAACGCCTAGTGAAGATTTCTACGAATCGCTTCGATTGTTACAGAATGTTACACTGTTTTTCGGTGCTACTTATTGTTTGTCTCGTAGTGTACTACAGAAGGCGATAAACATCTCACAACCATTTCAGAATGGCGCGTGAAAAAAAGAAAGCTTTACATCGCAGATATCATAAAAGGAGTGATCGGCGCATCATGAAAATTTAGAGGAGAAATTTTCTCTTTTAAGACAGAGCCTTTTACCGTTTCAATCAGCGAATTATTCCAAGTAGATCCGAAGATATAATTTTTTCAGTTCTAACGGTGACCACAATAAACATCCCTAAATAATTTCACAGTGGTGTCTCCGGCACGTAATTGAAAAAAAAAACTTTTTCCTTGCAAAAATATCTGAATGGGTTTGATCTGCACATCGTGGAAACTTTGAAGGAAAATTTTATTCATTCGAAAAGAGATCATTTTACCATTTCAATCAGCGACAAATGCTCAAAAAGCTGCTAAATTTGCGAAGCGAGCAAGGTCCGAAATACGATACGTTGAGTTCAACAGGGTGACGCCATTCGGCGGAATATTCACAACGAGGAATGCCTTTTTGTACGAAACAAAAGTCTCACAAAAATAGAATTGCAATGAAATTATACGATGATTTATTTGGGAAATAAAAATTAACAGAAGGCTATTTTAATCATTATTGGAGCCTAAGGATAGACCGACAGAGGAACAGTGAAGTTCTTGAGCTAGCTCCTAAAAGTTGTCATTACTATTAATTTTGTTATCATCGTCATTATTATTGTTGTTATTATTAGTATGATTATTTGTTAACATTTAATTAGTGGTTGGGCGTCAATTATTCACTATATTCTTGAATCACCTTTCTCTTGTGGAACAGGGCTCTCATAAATATGTAGGATACAGCAGGTTTTCTGTTTTGCATGCGAGACAAATCTGCAAAGCTACCTTATAGCATTATCATACAAACTCTGGTTCTTTTCAGTGCTATTAAGATTGTGTTATCTCAGTTGCCATATGCAGTCTTCACAGCCTTCTTTTTAAAGTGTATCATGAGCCAGCCTACTCCATAATATCCCCTAGTGGTGCCCTCCAGGATGTAGAATCGTTAATATTAATGAAAAGTGACTGATGAAGCTGTCGCCGTTTATGTATACAGGAAGTATAAATGTACCTTGTGAATTCCTTGCTGAAGCCCTTTAGCTGTTGGTAGGTCAAGAACTTCTTCTGCCGGTAAAGTCTGCATCCCATCCACAGAACCAACCTGATAGCTAAAAGAAAAACTACCTCAGCCATCACCATATAACCAACCGAACAACATTTAGTGGGAACAAAAAATGGAGCGGGGCAAATTTTCCAGTAGCTCCTCTATGCAAATTTTTATCTCGCTTTGACTTTGAACCATTAACACAAAGTAGTGAAAATGTTACCGCTGGCTAAATCACTGCCGCACACAGGTCGCCAATTTGGAGACATCTACTTCCGATGCTAACGACCATGAAATATCATAATATTAGGGGTAATTCTTGGGTGAATGAGATAACTTACGTAGTCTCCCATCCATGTGCGGGGCAAAGGAAAAGGGAGATGGCAAGATTCGAATTACATTTTACATGCCCAACTTATCACAGTATGGGTTGAACTGTGATACAGTACAGAGAGGGTATTGATGGCCTGACCGCATTCAGGTATACTGAAAAATGCTAGTTCAAGTAAATAGCAAAATAGGTTTTAAATTTTGCATTCTTGGCGAGGCTCATTAATTCTATTTTATTTGGTGCAATTTCGAGAACTAAATTTCAAGGGACCAGAGCTACATCTGTGTTCACACAACTAAGAATTTCCACATGATTGTAGGTGGTATTTACGAACCTTAAATGACTGTTACTGTTTATTGGTTGGTTTGTTTGGTTATACCCCCACACCACCTACTATTATTTTTCAAGTACCAATTACCTTCTAGTATACTCCATATCCAAGCAATAAAGATTCCTGAAGGATGAATATAATACACATATGTACAGCTAATTTCAATAACGTTTTAAAAGAAAAAAAATCAAAAAACTAAATAGCAATTCAATAGCATATAAAACTACCATCTGACTTTTATCCCTGGCTGTCAACCAAATGTTTACAAAATTTGCACGAAAGAATTCCTTCAATTCCCTAAAGAGTGTCAAATGTTGTCAAGTGAATTGAAGCCATTCCAAAAAATTCTTGTTTGCATTTTTCCATGACTTCTGAATTAGACTCACCCAAAACCAAAACTCTAAGGGTGGTGAAGTCGGTTGTCAGTACATGAAATAACAACAAGTAAGTCATTTGGGTGGAAATAAATAAAAATACAGGGACGTTGATGCAACATCCCTCCCTTTCCTGTTTTCTTTTCAGTTATCGGCGCTTATCACGTGTATTTAAGGAACTCCATGCATCTCTAAGAATCCTGCATTGTTTATTAAAAACACAGTCTCCAAATCACATACTGAGTTGTCCAACCTTTGTCAGCAAGTTAAGGTTACTTCCCACCTTCAGTGGCCGAAAAAAATCGATTTTTCTTTTATTCGACTAAACTGAATTCAAACAATTAGCCTAACTCAATCTGTTCATGTTGCCCTTCAGCAGCATAATAAAAATATAAAACTGTTCTAATAAGGGTTAAAACTGCTGTTAAAAAGTAAAATCTAAAATCCAAGCTTTGGCCGATCAACGGGATCATCAGGGATGAGAAAATATTCCGGGCGCGCTATATATATATGCAAAGAAAGTGTAGGTGAAATGTGTAAAATATGTGACTTACGTATGAAAAGTATAGAAATAAACTGTGAATGGAACACAAGGCTCTAATGATGGACTGTCTCTAGACAAAGGACCTCTAAAAGCGCTAAAGAATGGTCTATAAAATAAAATACTAAAATAGAAGCTCTACGAATTCACTACATTCTTCCCGGAAATTGAGTGTGGGCTTGCACTTTCTAATGTAAAATGTTTCATAAAGGCGTAGATCAGCTAGGTCGTTTTCGCTCGTACTAATCTTGACATCAATACCTTTTCAGTCTTTGTTCTAGCAGGAATAAATATGTTTTTTCATAGACGAGTTTTCATTATTGAGATGTTCTTTTACGCGGTCGTGGATGAAGCGTGCCGTGCTACCCTAGAGATAGGGCATTTGTCTCTAGTGCATTTGCGCTCCTTGGGTGTGGGATAGGGCTTGTCTGAGCTTGAAGGATTTGTGGGCAATGCGTACCGGGATGTTTTCTTTTCTAAAAATGTTAGTGATCTTGTGATTGAGTCATTCAGAAATGAAGGAGATCTTAAAGTATGACCTGTGTTGGTAGGTTGAGGGTTTTGTTGGGGGTTTTGTGGGCGTTTTGTTTGCTCTATACTGTTCTCTGGATAACCATTAAGGCGAAGGATGTCGTCGAATGTGGTTAGGTGTTCTGTTGCAGATATATGTGAGGAGCATCTATCCTCGATGCGTTTCCATAAAATAATTTTTCTGAAATATTAAAAAGCACCCAAGTTATTTAGAGAAACGTATTTTTATAAAAAAAAGTTAATAAGTCCGGAAGGTGCCATAATAACGGAAAGGGGAGAATTCCCTAGAGCAATTTTCGCGGCAACCGCTCATCTCGGGGCTCCTTTTTCATGTCATTTCCATATTTCGTTTACATTGCGCACTTAACAAAATTCACACGTGGAAGCTCTCCTTCTGGAAAAATCTTTGCTCGTGGAAAAATCAAAAGAGGAAGAAAATCCTGGGTAAAAAAAAAACAAACCAAAAAAAAAAACAGGCCCGAAGAAGAAAGAGAGAGTACCATTCTTTCGAGAAAATAAAAAATTTTGTGACTGGTGCTGGTGGAGCTCCACGTTGGCATCCAGATTTCGACCAAAGAGGTCGCCGCCATTCCAAAGTTTGCCATACATAATGTTAAAAAAGACGTTTCCTTTCCTTAATGCAAGTACCAGCCTTGATACAAAAACATTGTCGATTCGTTGTCTTGCTTCTCAGCACATTTTCTGGTTTTTCATTTTTGCCGCGGGTTTTTTCCTTTGCCGTTGGCAACTTTTCTCATTATTGTGTCTTCCTCCTCAACGCTTCAATGAGCGATCGAGATAGAAAAAACTTATCTGAAAAGGGTTACTTTTCGAGAGAAATCTTGATCCATCGTCATTGACGCGAGGAGGTCCCGTTGTCCCATTGGTTTGCGGTTTCAGGAGTCGTAATAATCTCCTTGAGTGGCGCGAGTTGTTTGTAAACTTCTAGGAGTTAAAATCTCGTATTTGATTTTGGGGGGGAAAATACAACCACTTAGAACGAATTTATAGGGTATATAGATTTGACCGATTTTTGTCAAATTTCGCCAAAACATTCCAGGAATAATGACAAACGAGAGTGTGTTGGGAAATTTTGATATCTGTCCCGTGGCGTCCATTAACGCAACACGCCTCGAATATTTTTAGCTACTCTAACTTTAGCTGCTGATATCTAGACAACCAATCAGAATATCGAAAAAGCCTAGCACACTTTTGTTGATTGATGCTTTGTAAGTAAAACTGTGAAGCAAATTAGCTCGTGTTGCAGCATCCGATACCCGATAAATTCAACCGCAGAACCTTCCGTCGTTTCACGCCTTACAGGCTCCTGACACTTCCTTTAAAGAAAAGTCGCTTAAATTATATTTTTATCGTAAACTGCTGTTATTACGCGAAAACTAGCGCACGTACGAATTTTTCCCGAAGGACAGCTGCAAAGGTGGGAAGTAACCTTAAAAGACAGAGTCAAAACGAAAGAAATAACTTATTCATGATATTTCAGCTCTAACGTAATGATAATTTTCATGTCTGTGATCAACTCGAAACGAGGGCGTTGGAATTACTCATGGGAGCTGTACTGTAATCATTTACTGAGTTCTAGGTGTCCTCTTTTCAACCTCTTTAAGTTATATAGATGTTACGTATACTTCTATCGCAGCATGCACTCACCTAAAGTATATGAAAAAAATATCAGGCACATTTGAGGAACGAAGAAAGGAATATTGAAGAGGACCAAAAAATACTTTTCCCAATTATCACGTGTGATTGGACCATGCAAAAAGCTCAAAAAGCAAAAGATTGGCCGATCACTATAAGAGGGATAGTTCACATAGTAGAAGGCGATAATTGTCAAGAATTACGTTGATATCCGAAGAAAAAAAACCTTCATGGAGCCAATTTAAAGCCAAACACGATCATGGCTTCGTTTTGAATAGAGCCATGCCATCCACATAGATGATACCATGTTCCTTGAGCTACTGAGTATTGGATGTGGCACCATATGACAGCTCTTAGATTCATGGGATTCAGTGGTGGTCACAGACATGGTAAATGAAAAAAAGAAATGATATTATAAACCCTCTAATAATTTTTTGTTTTTGCTTAAGAATTGGAAGTCACCTTAAGTTCTGAGGTTTCTTATCCAAAGATCCTAGTAAACATTGTCAAAAAAAATTAAAAGAAACAGAGACTGGTGGGATTCTTTAGCTAGGCTACTTTATACACAAAGATAATTGAATGAAGAATACTCGCAACTGTCTACCTTCATCTGTCAAAGTCTCAATTGGGCCATCACTATCATACAAGTTTTTAAAAATTAAGGAAAAAGGGTGAAACAGCCCCTTAATTTTCATTTTAAGATTTGGTTTTGTTCCTAATTCAAGAAACAATAAAAAATTTAAATTGTACCTTATTACAGGTAAAAATACAACTCTTCAATCTGTAATAGAGGCCTACCGTAAATGGTCCAGTTCTTTTGGAGTGGTCTGGTAGATGCGACCAATAGGTGAACTGCAGGACTTACAGTGTAAAGGGATAAATGTGCTAGAAGATTTAAGCACACCAATTATTAGCAAAATTGATCAACCTTTAACCCTTAAGAGTGTCTAGCATGTAATTTCTCCTCATATTACCCATCAATCAAATATTAAGGTCAAGAGATTAAAGCAAATGATCAACAACTGCTCAGCTCTTGATTGTTAAACAAATTCTTCCAGTCAGTACTTTTGGAAAGGTATGGGGAATAGTAGGGAGAATAAGTATTGTAATGTTAGAGTGTATAAAGCTTAAGGAAGCAATATTTGTCAGCAAAACAAAATTGTGTGTTTTCTAGAAGTGGGAATCTCAAAGAATCACAATAAGCACAAGAATTTAAGACAATTGTTACTACTAGATGGTGTGATAAGGCAGTGGCTGACTTGCTACCTTACCTTTTTTTTCTCTCATTTACATCTCATAAACCTTCACTGAAAGTTTATGTAATAAATGAGGAAAAAAAAGGTAAGGTAACAAGTAGATATTTAAAGGAGAAGTATACTCCAGAAACCATATAGTTTTCTCTCTGCTATTGACAAGTGGCTATATCATACAAGAAGTGACTTTTAATTGCATTTGGAGATTCCAAAGAGTAACATAATTGCTTGAAAATAGCCATAAAACAAGGCATTCCAAATACAGGATTTATACAGGAATTTTTGGCATTAGTAAATTTTGGAGGCAATATAGTTATCAGTTTTAAAGTAGCTCCTTGGAAGCTGAAAATGAGGTCAAAATAGCAATTTTATATCTTCTTTCCACCAGCAAGGATTATGTTACATGAATTATTGAGGAATCAAGAAAGTTACATTTTACACTTTTGGTATTCTGACTAGAGGAAGATAGGGGCACAACTTGAAGAAACACCTCCAAAAACTTAGGTACTGAAGAGAGAGTGAAAAAGAGAGTCTTTATATGTAGATTGATAACAGTTCAGCCATGTGAATCTCATTAGGGTCCCCTCCAGGGGTATTGATAGAAAAGCCAAATAGTATTCTGTATTCTTGAGTGGACCACTATCCTCTTATTTCAAGACCAACTGAGAAGCTAAACCAAGGCATTGGCTTCCCTATTGATCTTCTGAGAAGACAATGGTAAGTAGATGTGGCGAGACTCTCCACTAGTTAACCTTCTTGTTTTGATTAGGAAACCGACCAATGAAGTTTTACTCATGTCATTAGTCTATCCAGCACTGCAAAACAACAACCGTACGGGCTGTTTTAAGTTGGGAAGTTAAGCTGCACTCACACTTCTGTATGGCTGGAAGAAACTTCTGATCTGGCTAAACCAGATGGCATGTGTTAAAGGATTCACTGTGAATGCAGCAAAATTTATATTGGTGAAATTAGACAACCCACACTCGTTCAACAGATAGCATAGATTAGAAATCCCTGAAGGCTGAATGCCAATACTCAAGAAACATGGCAACAGGAGAGGTGTGCAACAGTTTACTGTTGAGAGATCAGCAATCACAACTGTTGAAAACCAACTGATCACAATCATATGGTGACTCATATCCAGTCAACTTCATGTCCTGATAAAGACTAGCAGTAATTGCAGTCGAATCAAAGTGAACCACATCATAAGTGAATTATTGGGAGACAAATACCAAAGATTCTCTTTAATCCATTCTTAATTTAAATTTTGAGTTCTCACACAGTGATAGAAATGAGCCTTTATTGGCTCAGGCAAGAAATTGAGTTACATAGCCACTCAACATGTTGCTTTCCACATGCTCAGAATCTTTGATGGTGATTTTTGATAGCTACTTTGATGTTTGAAGAACTTTCATGATTGTAATTTTATTAAACAAAGAGCATACCTGCCTATATCACTTTCTGTGGTCGAAGTCTCCAAGCATTCCCCTGAACATATAAATGGTGTTACTTCTAAATGAAAGAAAAAACAAACAAACAAACAAAAAACATTCAGAATACTATGCATGATGGTAAATTTACTATGTGCATCTATTTGATTTGGAAAATGTCTACAGGAAAGTTCATTCTTTAGGCATGTATTGCTGTAAGACCTAAACTCTCCTTCATGCACATTCCCTGAGTTAATTTCCCATTAACTTTGTGAAGTCAACAAGAAAAAGAGTGAATTTTATTAGGAGAAACAAGCATATGGAACTTTGATATTACATTGGTTTGTGCCCAGACCCTGAGGCCTTCAGTAAAATAATACAAGGCTGCTCAGCACTTTAGTGATAAAAGAAACTACAGAAAACAACAAAATGTTTATGTAACTGCTGTTGTTATAAGGCATTGTGATTTGTTGTGATATGTCAGAAACAAGGTTAAAACAAAGAGTCTAGTTTACCAGTCATCACATCAGATTCTTTGAGAGTCAGTACTGCCTGCCTGTTAATTGAAATCCTATAGACCTTGAACCCTTTTAACCATCATTCTTGAGCTGCCTTTATTTAATGATTAACATAAGAGTTTCATCTTTTTTCATTTGAACATTAAATGTGCTTTTAGCATGTTTACACCGGAATACCCAACTTGACCTCTATGATAGTTGAATAATATTATAATAATAATAAATAATAAAGCACAAAATGCTTGTATGTATTGACAAATGAAATTACTAACTATACCATTAACATAATTCTGCCAAAGAATTGTTAAACTGATATTGTTTTGAGGGTTAAGTTTAAGTGCTGGTCGAACATCATTGTATATATCATTGTTTGGCTGGTCATTGTTCAGATTTTTTAAGAAGTTGAAGTCTTCTTTAGAACCAGGGGCATTGGTGAGATTTTTAAGGTGTACAGATAAGTAGAAAATATTGAGTGGCATAGGGGCTCCAAACTAAGGGGGTCTGAGGGCACGTTCCCCCAGAAAATTTTCAAATTTAGGGTCTAGGAATGCCATTTCCTACATTTTTTGCAGGGCATTTTCAGTAAATGAATATGAAGGAAAATGCATTAGTAACTGTATGTTGTTTATTTTCCTTATCACTAGTGTTATTGTTAAGGTACAGTGTTATTAAATTAAACCTCATCTAGCAACAGAGAGTTGTACATACATTCATACAATGCCATTATGCAGCTTTTTGACTGTCTGATTTTAACAAACTGAGACATTTGCAGAAATGAAGTCTTCCATGGTTTTCATTGCTGCACCAAAAAATACCAAGGCTGATCAACATAGCCCCTGGTGACATTTGACCTGACTTGCTTTAATCATTGGAGAATTTTGACTGATACAGCTTGCGCCACAATAACAGCTTCATTAATGGGTAATTTAATGTTAACAGCCGATTTGAAAATGTAAAATGACCACCGTAAAGAGTTTAAAGGCTGATGTTTTAGCCTTTTGTCAATTGCTGTGACAAAGGGCTAGCACTCAAAACATTAACCTTTAAACTCTTTATGGTGGTCAATTTACATTTTCAACCCAGTTGTTAACACTAAATTACCTGTTGTACTCTCCCACCGACACAGTACCACAGTTTCTTTGGAAACTTACCACCCCCTAACTTTATTAATGACCTATCACATAACCGACTTTGATAGGTATCCACTTTCACTGGTATTATGCTTTTTTTTTCAGCATGAGAAAAAGTTACTTCCACGGTATTTCTTGATTATAAAGTTTTATTTTAAGCCTTGGTGGACATTAAATAGAAGCAAAAAAACTTTGCTAGGTACTGGTTTTTGGCTGGATGATAATTAGTGATAAATAGCAATCAAGTGCCATTTTAATTTCTGCTCACGCTCCCGCTCCCGTTCCTCATATAAATTCCGTTTCCCACTCTCTCTCCCCCCCCCCCCGATCTCTCGGGCTCCTGTTTCCCCGTCCCCCACCAGTCTCAAGTGAATTAATACGCCGCTAAACGGATAAAGTGCGCTCTGTTACTTTAAAAAGAATCTTTAAATTTTCTATGGGTTTACCGGTGCAATAAACGATACGTTTTTGACCAATCAGGGTGCTCGTAGTCTCTCAGTTATTTCATAATATCCTGGGAAACCGATAGAAACTGCAGTCTATTCCTCAATGAGTGTGACCTTCTGCATTGCAGGAATTAATGAAGTTAACAACTTGATTCTCGTCACAAAAGAAGTATTATGTCAAAAAAAATTATACTCATTTGTAAATCTCTAGGAATTCAAAGAGCTTCCTTTGATAAGAGTTCACAAGACAACCACAATAATATCATGAAGGAAATAAGAATAATGCTAATAACGTTAACATAGAAACCACTTACTGTTTATGCAGATCATCTCAAGATCTCGGTCAGAAGAAACCCATGCGCAAGAATCGCCGAGTATATTATTACAATTTTTACACTGGAACACAATTGGAAAAGTTTCCTCAAATTGAGGTAAAGGAAATTCACTTCTCTTCGAATCTCTCCTTGAATTTACCGCCATTTTCTTCTTGGTATGATAAGTGGTAACTACTTTGTGTAAGGAAATAGGAAATGTAGCCAACCATCCAAAGATGATCCATAGTATGTCCCAGTCAGTTCGATATTTTCTCTAATAGCAGCCTCAAAGGATGAAGAAAGAATGAATGAAGCTTGGAGAGACGCGTTATTGCTTGCACTAAACCATGCATGCAGCCAAAATCCCTCACTTACAAAGGAAGCAGAGGATAAGCTTAAATCATGGGAAAGAGAACCAGGGTACTACAGTTTGCTCATGGTAAGAGTCGCTTTGGTCTCCACTCTATCACTAAGTGACTATGGAATGTAGAAATTTTCGATCAAACCGTTATAGGATACCGAACGGGCTACAATTTAGCTATTTCTAACCTTATTGACATTTGGTGGATGCAGTTTACGTACACCTACAAGTTTACATTCGTTTGGGCTTCCTTATGATGCACTATACTATGTAGTTTGTAGAGCATTTTTTTCCCAGTTAAGAAATTGATTCCATGTTGTCAAGCGTCTGTACACTAATGGTTCGCAGATGACGTCAGTTTAGCATTGACATTTTGGTCCACAGAGACAATTTATATGGAGTGGAGTGATTACATTATCACTAACTAGCTTTTTATGCAACTTTTTATTTTTGTGATGAATTTTTATTGCTGATGAGATATCCTTGCTGTTAAGTTGATGATAAAGAATTACCCTGTTTTACTCAAAGCGCTTCAATAAAGTTAGGTTTGTAGGTACATGTGTATTTTGATGTGAAATAAAGAGGGTACTTTTTGTATATATATATACACATATGTTGCGATAGGGGAAAAAAACAGTGAGACTATACTTTCACCCTACAAGCCTGTTTCATGATTGCTCACTCACGAAACAGGCTTGTAGGGATGAAAGTATAGTCTGGCTGTTTTTTTCCCCTATCACAACATATATTGCACCTTACTTCTACATATCAAGCACTGTAAAAAATGGAAAAATCAATACACAGACTTCCTATATATAAATGTACACACTTTCTTTTTTGTATTGACTGCTAATGTCTCCCTTTTGGTGCAATTTGAATGGTCAGATCTGACCAACAGAAACCTAGTAAATGTGAAATTTACATTTTCTTGTTTCTTTCAAAGATAATTTTCAAAAATAAGACACTTGATGTCAATATAAGGTGGATGGCAATGGTATTGATGAAAAATGGAGTAGAGCGTTATTGGAGGAAATCAGCCCCTCAGTAAGTGGCGCACATACATATGGATTACAACTGTACATTCACTCCTATGAGTCATGTTCAAAGAAGTGACTGAAATACTTTTATCACTCACAGTCAGTGGCGTTCAAAATTTGCTAGATGTGGAACTAAACCAAACACCAAAAGAGAAACTGAAAGTGACTAGGCTTTGATCATAGCATTTCTCACAGCTGAGAAAGAGAATCAACAATGGTAATATTTGCCACCGGCTGATTTAAATGTGTAAAGGCCTATTGCATTTATGTAATAAATTAAAAAAAGAGATGGTTGCTTGTGGGTACAGAATTTCTTTCCCTATCTTCAACTCAATATCTCACTACATGACTTGTTTGGAGTGCTCACTCATGGGCTCATGCACTCATGGTTATGAAGTCTCCATGAATTTTTTATCTCTTGACCCACCTATTTATGTATAGTTTTAGTAAATCTACAAATATTTATGATTACTGTTACTTATTCAAGTAAATGTTAATATAATTATGGTCATTCATCTGGCATTATGTGAATTTGATGTTTTTGTACTTTCCATTTACAGTTCTATTGCTGAAGAGGAAAAAACCTTTATAAAACAGAATTTAACCATGTCGCTTGATGAACCAGTCAATCAGGTACAGAGAAATGGTTCAAATTTCTAACAGTAATCAATTTTGACACCAAAGTTTTTGTTGCTTAAAAAAAAGTGCTGGTTGTAAGTAAAACAAATGACATCTCATGAGGAGCTTTGGCCCCCCAAAAAGCATGCATTCTACAGAGATGCTATATTTCTGTCATCAATGTAGAGAATTATGTCAAGGCTTGTAGTGGGTAGGTGTCTATGGGGTTACATAAACCTCTTTATTATAAGTTAAAGGTTCACTTTAATACTTCTTCTACACACAAATTTCAATTAAGAAAACACAATAAATCTTGGATCCGAATCACTTGACACAATCTCTTCATGAAGTCTTTGACCAATCGGCTGAGCTTTCTGGAGTTATGGGATCTAATCTCGACTGCAAAAGCACTGTAATGTGCTAATGAAAAGTTACTGTGTATTCAGGAAAAATGCTTTTGCAAAGAACAAAATGTTCTGTCAATAGTCCATTTTACAGTTGTGTGCTTGGTTGCCTAGCCTTTGAACAGGAGTGAGGCTAAGGGTGACCTTGTTATAATACAAACCTTACTGCTTTTGAAATGCAAATTAATTTGTTATCATGCTAACTAGATTCTGGTCTCTAACACAACAAGGTCACCTTCAGCCTCACTCCAAATCAAAGGCTTGGCAACTAAGTACACAACTGTAAAATGGCCTATTCCCTGATGACTGCAATACGTTCTGTCCTGCCAGCAGGTCTCAAGCACACCAAAAAAGACTGTTTGTTCAACATTAGTTAGCCAAACAACATGTATGTTTTATGTTCATGTTCATCTGTGCTGGACCAATTAGACAGCAAGAATTTCCAGCAGATGGATTCATGAGGTCTCAAAATATAACCCTGTTGTTGATGCGGTAAATAAAATTGCTCTTGACCATACACTTAAGGTGTGAAATGCCTCTTGTCAAATAATCATAGATAATTGCAAAGATGTCAGTCAAGAATAGCCAAGCTTGACAATGACATTCAAGATATAGTAAAGGATAAAGATTATATAAGTTAACAGTGGATGCCTGACAAGAAAGAGTCCAGACAAAGAGCAGTCTCCTGATATTAATAAGTGTGAATTCTATTTTTCATGCCCTCTAAAGTAGTGTATACCTGAGGGTTAATTTTTACTATCTTCTATATTGTCTTGGGTAGTGTATACCTGAGGGTTACTTTTAATCTCTTCTATACCCTCCTGGGTAGTATATATCTGAGGGTTACTTTTAACCTCTTCTATACCCTCTTGGGTAGTGTATACCTCAGGGTTATTTTTTATCTCTTCTATACCCTTTTAGGTAGTGTATACCTAAGGGTTACTTCTTATCTCTTCTATACCCTCTTGGGTAGTGTCTACCTAAGGGTCACTTTTAATCTTTTCCATACCCTCCTGGGTAGTGTATACCTGAGGGTTAATTTCAATCTTTTCTATACCTTCTTGGGTAGTGTATACCTGAGGGTTAATTTTAATCTCTTCTATACTCTCCTAGGTAGTGTATACATGAGGGTTATTTTTGATCTCTCCTTTACCCTCTTGGGTGGTGTATAACTGAGGGTTATTTTTAATCTATCTTATACCCTCTTGGGTAGTGTATACCTTGCAGTTATTTTTAAGCTCTTCTTCACCCTCCTTACACAGCAGTCATGTTAGACAATATTCATAAGTGTGAGTTTGCTCACAATGACCTAAAATACAATAACATTGTTTTAGAGAAATATGAAGACCAGTTTCTACCTTGTTATAGTCAATTTTGGCAAGAGTGTTGTCTTTGGAAAAGCTAAAAATGCTGTTCCAAAACCTTTGCATTTAAAAGGTCATTATAAGAATAGTTGTATTCTGCCAAAGTTTTTAGACAGAACAGGGAGACCGTCCCTGAGTTGAAAGTGATTTGTATTCTCTGGATTATCCAATCAACACAATTTCTGGACTTTAATTAAAGGTTCAAAACCATGACCTGTTTAAAGAAGGGTTTGTTGAAGTTAGTCTTAAATAGGCCTTGGCCTTTGAATATGGAAGTGAAATCAGCTTTACCGCTGCCGCATTTGAGACTATTTTTGAGTTTCTTCTTTACGTGTTATACACTGTTCTTGTTAGATGTTGCCGTAACATTCGGCCAGGACTGTTTGTGGACCTTGTGTTTACGATTTACTGTAGTCTTCTTTAAGATATGCATTGTTTCTACAAAGAAAATAAGCTTAGCGTACTGCCCCTTAGGTTATTTCAATGTTTCTAGACAATAAGCAAACAAAGTAGAGTTGTATCTGGGAAATGATTAAAAATATTATTGGAAATTGTGGTTTTTTTAATTTCAGTTGAGGGGAGCTTATTATTAACTTTTTTGTGGTGATTATTGGATGTCCTGGAATGTTCAGCAACCACCTCATGCCACCAAGGGGCATCAAACCTTGGCTTGAATTACTTTTGCAAATTAGCTGGCTGCACATTCAATGTCCAGCCAGCTTTTTTGCATAAAAAATTTTTCCAGCGCAAAGCTCATCATGTTGCTTATGAGTTAAAAATAATGCTGTTGGGATACCACAGATGAGTTGGATTAGGAATAATACTGATTTTACAATTTTCAACTCCCAATATTTGATTTCTAATGCTCTGATTGGTTCACTCAAATTTTAGAATTAAAACAGATTCACATAGCTCTCTTAGCATTAATGAAAGGCAGAGAATTGAAGTAAGCAATCACTCCATTCACTCTTGTTAGATGCAAGATTAGTTATAGCCAACTCATATCCAATGCTTGCACATGAAATGCCTGTAAAATACTTGTGTGACAAGCTGTGAATAATTATGTTACTGAAACTCAATCATTCATCAAGTTACCATCTCTCTTATTCTATTTACAAACATTACGTCCTCAAAATTGCTGATCCTAGCAGTATGCAGGATGCATGTCACATGAACTTTGTAATAGACCTCACTTACTGTAGAGTATCTGTGGCTCAGTGGCAGAGCATCAGAGTGCAGAATCCGAAGGTCAGCAGTTCCATTCCTCATGGGGACTCAGAATTTTTTCTTTGTCCCATGCTCACATCAAGACGAAAACCATCTTTCTTTATTTCTCTACAGAGCTCAAAACTTACCACCTCTCCAATTACAAACATGATGCTATTGAAATTACTGATCCTAGCAGTATGCAGGATGTGTGTCATATGAACTTTGTAATCGACTTCGCTCACTCTAGAGTCTCTGTGGCTCAGTGGTAGCATATCACAGTGCAGAATCCGAAGTTCAGAGGTTTGATTCCTTGTGAGCACATCTCAACTTTCGTTGCCATTTTTCATAAATATATCTAGTTTTTGTAGCTAGGCAGTATTTTTAAGCAAACACATCCGTCACTACCTCAAGCCAATAAATAACTTATGAATCCTCTCTTTTCTCTCTCTCAAATCACTTTGGTTGACAGAAAAATATTGGTTTCAGAATGAATTTGTATAAGCGATAGTGTCATTACATTGGTTGACAAGCGGCCTGAAAACCATCTGCAATTAATTTTAATCGTTCACAAAAAGTGCATAGAAAGTTAAAACATGAAGTATTTGGTTACAGTTAAACTGAACGATGGAACTTTCATTCATTTAATATCTGAATTTTCTCAAACAATTTGTTCATAGTAAAAGAACAACAAATATACACTCTCGGTGAGTCTTTCCAAGTCCGTTCAATTTGGACATTTGTACCTTAAATTGCTCAACAGAAACTGAAGGAATTTAATGAGAAAAGGCCACATTAAATCCCCTTGTGTTTTGTTGGAGTGTGCCATTTGAATTTAGTTTTTGTGGAGGAAAGACCAGATTTACACAAAACAATTGCAGCAAAGAAACAAACAAACTCTCACAACTTCAAAATAAAAAATTTGAATTTACTCAATTACTTTCTTCACGTCTACTTATTGAACAGAGGTAAATCTTCGTACATGAATGAATCGTTGATGAGAGTGAATAATACTTCCTGTGAGATCATTGACTGTTACTGAAGAAAACATTGTCGTGACAGCCTTGCCAAACTAGTTCCATTGTTTCAAATGTTCTTGTGCTTTTTTTTTCTTACGTGCTCTCTAATTGACAGGTGTCAGATTGTGACAGATACTTGTAAAAATAATGTTTCAAGGTTTGTTTGGAAGCCTTTTAAATCACCTTTGTCATTACAGAAATGGAAATGTTTTGGTGAGGCATCTCTCTTTGATTTGCATCACCTCTATTCTAACTACAATTTATTCACTCAAAAATTGTTCAGTTTATGGAGGATCTTGCTGTATTTGCAGCAACCAGTAACCGGTAATCATTTGGGTTCTTTTGGAAAGAATTTCGTCAGGTTTAAAAAAATAAATATGTTATTTACTGGCTAAGGGTCGGTCCATATGGTGAAAAACTGACCTCAGTCTTGAAATGCTACCCTTGGCCTACAGCCTTGGGCAGTATTTTCAAGACCTTGGTCACAGTTTTTCACCATCCCACATTTTTCGACCTCCCAGCCGGCATATAACATATATTTCTTTATTATCATATCTGTTGATAAAACAGAATTATCTTGTTATGCCCCTACCTATGCAAAACCAAAGTTTCTTTAGCAACTTACCCCCTTTATTCATTTGAGGTTTTGATTAACTTGAGTTAACCCTGCCAAAAAAAGGCAAAGCATTTGCCACATTACACCAGTCTGGCATCAATTGCATAACCACAGCAAAATTCTTATTATGAAGTACTTGAAATATCTTATTAGTATATAACCTAATTAACATCAAAATGGTTCTCTTGTTAGACTATTTATACTAGTCGGACTAATTCATGTGGCAAACCCATTTTCAGGGGTATGATCACTTTACCTCCAATTGGCAACAAAATTGTAGACAAGTTGATTATCCACCAGTATTACTTCAATCTTATATCTTTTTTCCCTATTAAATTAACTTATTTTCCCCCTTCCCCCCAAAACAGTGTTGTGTTGTGAACTCTTAGCTATATAGAGGCAACAT